ACGTATTAATCATTTAGGCAACTGAGAGGTTTGAAGCTATTTATCCTACCCTGAAGGAGGTTGCCCTCGCTGGTTCTCCTGGAAGCAAAGCAATGAAGCAAGTTGCCCAGCAGATACTGAACTACGCTGTGATCGCTGCCGGGGAAGGTAAAACTAAATTCTTATAGATTGCTTTGCAGCGGCTTTTTAAACCCATTCTGGTGAAGTGGTATAGGAAATTAGCTCTATCCATTTGCACTGTATTCCTTTTTTTAATGTTGTTAATGCAGGTGTTCCTGAGCTATCAAAGGAAGGGAGTGATATTTTTATTTGGTGTTTAATTCAAAATCCCGAGTGTTATAAGCAATGGGTAAGCAATTTCTGATTTATTTGAAGATTTTTCATCCACTTATGTATAGGTTGTGCTTTCTATTTTCAACCAGATCTTTGACCGTATTTTCATTCACTTAACTAGAATATTGTTAAATTTGTGTTGGTTTTATGCATTATCTTTGGAAACAGGATCTGCTTTATCTTGATAACCTTGAAGCAAGTGTTACTGTTTTGAGGAAGCTTGCCCATGAATGGAAGGAGCATTCTGTTAAACATTCTTCACTTAATCCTTTGAGGGAAACTTTAAATAGTTTCAGGCAGAAGGTAATGCATTCTCATATATTTCAGATAACATATTGTTTTTGTTTTACATTTTTACATGCTTTTATGATTTATATACAAAGTGGAACTGAGACCGAATTTATAGCTAATTTTGTTCCATTTGGTTTATAAATAGAACAAGGATGCAGAAGATGATGCAGATGCATCATTGAAGGAGGCAGACAAGTACTGCAAATTGATTTTAGGACGCCTGTCAAAAGGACATGGATGCTTGAAAGGTGTGTTCTTTGCCTCTATTGCACTAGTTGCAGGTGCCGCCATCATGTCCCAAAATGTCCAATTTTTGGACTTAGGTAAGTTGTCTGCGATGTTTAATCTATCTTAGGCACGAGGCTGTTCTCGACCAGAGTTTATCTCTCTGGTTTTTGGTGTTTCAAAGCTGTTATTGTTTCATAATGACTAATTTATAGTGGCTTGGGTTGCATACATATCGAGAGATAATAAAATCTGATCAAGGGTATCTTTTTATACATATCAATAAATGTCTATTGAAGTATTGAACCTTGGGTTACATACATACATAACGAGAGGTTACCCTATTTCTTATAGTTTAGATTCTATTTAGGCCGATGCTCGTAATTGGAAACACAAGAACAATACTAATTAGTTCCAGTGAGAACCTTATTAACAATGGGACGAGCTTTACACATGGCTTCCAGTGGCATGAGTTTAGGCATGGTGGTACCATCATCCTCAGTCATGTCAATTTCTTGCTCACTCACTCTTTCCCATTCAAAACATTGGATCAACGATCCCAAAGTCAACCCAACCATTCGTTGAGCCAAACTGGCTCCAGGACATGCCCTTCTTCCCAATCCAAATGGCATCAACTTGTTTGATTCCCTATCTCCATTTGCAAATCTCTCAGGTTTAAAACTTGTTGGATCATCCCAAAACTCGGGGTCCCTATGAATGGCCCATGCATTGATCAATACGATCGTGTCACGTGGCACATCGTATCCGGATATACTGCAATCAGACGATGCCATATGTGGAAGCAGAAGTGAAGCTGCTGGGTTCAACCTAAAGGACTCAAAGATGATACTCTGAAGGTATTGTAGCTTGGAAATTGTGTAGGTTATATTTTATCTGTTTTCTCTTTGGTGTTAGGCATGCCATGGACCCATCTGCCTCTATGGTCAATTGTCCACTTCATGAAGAAGAAAATTGGAGTGGGATTAGTACACCGTAAGTTTCTGATTTCAAGCCTCGGGACTGAAGAATTGAACCCCAATTTCATCACTAGATTTGAATTAGTACGTAGTTTTTATTTTTTATTTTTTGGTCATTTAATTCTTTTACAAGAAAAATGTCAAAATCAACCCCAACAACTATGTTGGACGTTGGATTTAGACGTTGTCTTGTTGAGAACCTGAAGGTGGAATTTTTCATGAATCTTATCTTTAAGATTAAAACCAATTTTCATAGAGCATTTGAGCTTTTGAATCTATTGATCAAATAATAAGTGTACATAACAAAATAATGTATTTTTTTATTTAAAGAATCGAAATCTCCTTCAAATAAATTAAAAAAAAAAAAAAGCTTCACTAGTAGTAAGGGTCTTACCTGAATTAGCCCTTTGATAAGTTGATCAGTATAGTAGTGACGCTGAGTTTGTTGCAAGGAAAGAAGATGATGGATCATAGTAGTCCCAGCTTGGCTCTTACCTCGAACCTCATCAATCAACTTTTGCAAGAACCAATCCATCCTCTCTACAAGATTCATCAACTTCTTCACATAATTCCTTCCACCAATCCAATTCAAAATGGGGATAAAATCTCCTGGATGGGTTACTCCACTTGCATGAGACTCTTCCATTAACGCCTTAAACTCCTTGGCCTCTTCTTCATTTGTCACACTATCCCTACCATGGTACCTCTTCCCTGCTACCATTCTCATAATGTTATTAAATGTTAAATCAACAAACATCGATTTTAGCTCCACTTTGATGAACCCTTGTTGAGAATCACTCGGTAGTTGCATCAATAATCGCTTCACTTCGTCTTTTCTAAAGCTTGGGAATGCGTTCAAGCGATTTGGTGAGAAGATCTCAATGGCACAAATCCGACGCAGGTTGAGCCAATGATCACCATAAGATGAGAGAACGACCGTACTCTAGTTGTAGGCAAGGTACTTGCCAATTAGTAACTTGGATCGGTTAGCTAAGACGATATCGTTCTTGGTGAAACATTCCTCGGCTGCTGTTGAAGATGAGACTACAACTACAAGGCGGAAGCCGAACCGAAGGGAGCAAATTGGGCCATGTTTTTGTGACAGACTATGGCAAAATCGATGGATGGGTCGTTTTATGAGATGGAGATGGCCGATAAGGGGAAGAGGAGGTGGACTTGGAGGAAGGTTTTTGTGGGAAGTTTTGGGTTGAAACAAGAATTTGAAGCAAAAGAGAAGAATGACAAGAGAAAGAAAAGAGTAAAGGATTAATGTTGATTCTTCCATTGTTTACAACTTTTATTAGTTCAATTGGAGCTTGTTTTGTATGTATATAGAGAGGGAAGAAGGGGGAGCCTTTTAATATAAGTTGATACAAGAAATTGACGAAGGCTAAGCTTTTTTGACAATTCACCATTCACTCCGCGTGATGGAGTTTTCTTGAAGATACATCTATTGTCCTGTCTCCCTGTTTCCGTCGTCTATCTATACTATTAAACTTTTTCTTTAGTCTCATAATATGGTAGTTGTTGACAAGTTCATAATATCTTTACCAATACTCTATCATCTTCAATTACCAAAAAAAATACTTGGTAATCTATCTTAAATCAGTTTATTCTCATGAATTTTTAAACTTGATAAATGAAATTAAATATTGATAAATGTTCATTTATTTTGGATAAGAATCATTTATTCATTTAATCATTAATTTTCTTAATACCCAGCAGAATATCTATTCATTTTTTCTCAGCTGCATAATCTAATGCCCAGCTGGCTCAAGGAAATCACATTATTTAGTTGCCATTTTATCTGTCTAGGCCTGAAGATTATGTAAGGATAAGGCCAGTTCTTTTTCTTAACTGATGAAATGTTATTCATGAGCTTTATTTCCTCTATAGTTTTCCACATCCTGTAGTGCTTCTGTTTTAAAAGAAAATTGCTGCCTAATTCAGCAAAACAAAAATGATAGCCACGGAAGATGAAGTAACCAGGATCCAATTTAATGGTGGCTCCATAAACAATTTTTGTTATCCCGACAAAAAATTTAAAGTTAATATTATCTTGGTTAGATTAAGGGTGTAATCGAGCCAAGTCGAGTCGATACAGTGAGAAACTCGAGCTCAAGCTCGACTCATAACTCGGGACTCGATGCTCAGCTCGAACTCGATCGAGTTTTATTTTTCAAGCTCGAGCTCGATTCGTGATCGAATTCGAGCTACTCGAGCTCACTGGATTAAGCTCGATTAATATGTAAAAATAAGCTCGATTCGTATACTCGACAAAAATTTGATTATTTATGCTCGAACTAGAACTCGAACTCAGACTCGAAATATTTTATTAATTAAAATAATAAAAATATATTTAAATATAAAAATTCGATTAGGCTCGCGAGTTACTCGAACAAGATATAAGAATACTTGAATTCGGTTCAATCGATAAGTCAAACTACTTGAGTTCGAGCTCGACTCGATAATAATCGAATAGAATTTGAGTTTTCTTCGAATCGAATTCGAGTAGTTTGTGAGTACTAATGTATAATTTACACCCTTAAGCCAGACCCCTAATGCAGTAAACTGGTTACTATTCCCCCATTCTAGACCACTCAGTAATTTTTCTTTTAACAATCAATCTACTTTTGGCATTGAATCTGGTCACCTTTTACTTTTTCCTAATGTGTCCGTTGGCTAAGCTTTTCCTTATAACAAATGCTTAATGATTGTCAAATCCTGAAATGAACTTTGCAAAGAAAATGAAACAAATACAAGCTGAAGCGGAAAGGACAAACAAGAGAGGGACCATCCATCCATCCACAATTACTACCATCTTTGTAGCTTTGTCTACGAGAAAAAGGGTCTGTTTTGACCTGGATGCAACAGATAATAAAACAGAAGAATGATTGATATAACCAAAAACAAGGAGAATGTGAAGCAGTTGAAATGCAGAAATATCCAGGTCCAAGTTTTGACCTGGATACTTAGAAACTTGCAATTGAGGAAGAGGCGAATCATCATGTTTATGAGAGGCTGCAAGCTCTTGAAGAAGACAGGGAATTTCTAAAGAACTGCATGGGCTCCATAAAAGAAATTAAGGAGACAAAGGGATGGATCTTCTCCAAGAAATCTTGCAACATGTCCGAGGCCTGAGGTCAGTGGAACTCATAACAAGAAACGTGAGCAATGATCTACACGAGGTGATTTTAGGCTTCCTATATATTATATATATATATAAAGAATCACCTGCCATATAATTCTATATTTGTTTTCATATATATTGAAGAATTGTCAGTTGAGTTGACAACCTAGTAACTTGTTTTTCCTTCTAGTTTTTCTTGACTCTTTTCTCCATAAAGTTTGGAGGAAGGATTTGAAATGAGAGGGAACGGGGCTTTATCTTTTTTCTCTCCTACTGTTGGCATCAGGCATGGTTATACATGTTATGAACTTTTTGGAATATAAATATATGCTGTTAATTTCTATAGTTATATGAGGAGTTGTCGTTGATGTTTTCCTTCTTCTTTCGGTCCGCCCTTAGTTAAAATTAAAATTTAAGAAAAAAAAAAGTCATGTTTAAAAGGCAGGAACTTCCTATCACTGTATGGATGATTTCTCATGTGTCTATTGACAACGATAAAAATAAATATAATAATTTAAAATATGACATGATAATAAAATATAAATATAATATAAATAAAAAATATAAAAATAACATGATTTAAAATTTTAAAAAAATTAAAAATAAATTTAATAAAATAAAATATTATATTTTATATTTTTATATCAATACAATTTTTTACACGAAATTTATATATAAAACACTATATGAATATAATATTTTACGCATTATAATAATAAGAATGGTCATGTCTACGATAGAATATAATGTTTCTTCATGTACTTATCACGCTTTAGCATATGCCTTTCAACTGTGAATTTGATTTTATTTTCACAGGCCTGTCAAGGAGATTTAGCTGTAGGGCTGTACATGTGGTTACATGCTTTGTTGCCTATGCTAAGTGGCAAGTCAAGTTGTAATCCTCAGACTAGAGACTTGATTTTATAGGTGAGATGCCATTTGTTTTTGATAAACTGTTTACATTTTTAAATCTTTGGGATTTTAGAAACTATCTTTACATGCTAATTGTAGGTCTATATATGTTTTCTGCTTTATGCCAACACTTCTTTTTGTCCTCCCATTTTGTTTCATCAGTCGAGATCAGAATAGCTTCCTCTCCAAAAGTTCGTCCTATTTTAGTAAATGGTGCTGTCAGAAAGGGAGATCGGTTGGTGCCACCTTCTGCTCTTGGAATTTTGATGAGAATCACCTTTCCAGCGCCCTCGGCTCGAATTAAGGTAGGTTTTGTGCTGGATCTTTTGCATGGTTTCTTTTGACTCAGTCCTAAGGTTTCCAGAAGTTTGAGATCTGATTCAGTTCTAATGTATTAATCATTTAGGCAACTGAGAGGTTTGAAGCTATTTATCCTACCCTGAAGGAGGTTGCCCTTGCTGGTTCCTCTGGCAGGAAAGCAACGAAACAAGTTGCCCAGCAGATACAGAACTATGCTGTGAAAGCTGCTGGGGAACGCAAAACTAAATTCTTATAGACTACTTTGTGGTACAGGAAATTAGCTGTATCCATTTGCACTGTATTCCATTTTTTTTTAATGTTGTTATTGCAGGTGTTCCTGAGCTATCAAAGGAAGGGAGTGATATTTTTATTTGGGGTTTAACTCAAAATCCTGAGTGTTATAAGCAATGCGTAAGCAATTTCTGATCTATTTGAAGATTTTTCATCCACTAATGTATAAGTTGTGCTTTCTACCTTCCTTTCTTGTTCATCTTTCCCCCAGATCTTTGACTGTAATATCTTTCACTTATCTAGAATATTGTTAAATTTGTGTTGGGTTTTTGCAATATCTTTGGAAACAGGATCTGCTCTATCCTGATAACCTTGAAGCAAGCGTTACTGTTTTGAGGAAGCTTGCCCATGAATGGAAGGAGCATTTTGTTAAACATTCCACACTTGACCCTTTGAGGGAAGCTTTAAATATTTTCAGGCAGAAGGTAATGCATTCTCGTATATTTCACATAACATATTGCTTTTGTTTTACATTTTTCAATGCTTTTATGAGTTATATACAAAGTAGAACTGAGACTGAATTTATAGTTAATTTGTTTCATTTGGTTTATAAATAGAACAAGGAAGCAGAAGACGATATGCATAGTCAAATGAGGCAGACCGTATCGTCTTTAATCTCGAAAAAAATATGTGAATATAATATGATATATATATATATATATATAAATTTAAATTTGTAAGATGTTTTTTGTAAGATAAAATTATGAGACTTTTAAGTTAAAGCAGACAATATCTTACAGGTTAGATGCAGCTTCCCACAAATGATATTAAAGCAATTATTAATTGTCAAAAATCACTAAGTGCTATACAATGAGATCATGAGAGTCGATATGTGTTACATGGTGAAAAATCACTTTTAAAATCTCTTCATTTAATGATTTTAGTTTTTATTGTATAGTGAAACAATGGCAATCACTAAGTATTACACAGTAAATAAACATTTTTTAAATTTTAACATTTGATATGATTTTGATTTTTTAGTTGAATTCGGCTTAACAGAGACGTTCTTCAATCTCATATTAGAAGAATGTATGAATATAATATGATATAAATATAGAGATCTAAACTTAAATTTGTGAATTTTTTTTGTTTGTGAAATAAAACTATGAGTTTTTTAGGTCAAAACAAAAATATCTTATAGATTGAGTATGAATTTCTATAAATAGTATCAAAACGATCATTAATTAATAAAAATTAAATGTTACTCGTGAAAGTCAATAAGTATTATACCGTAAAAATAATTAAATGCTACAAATGTTATATCGTGAAAATTATTAAATATTATATTTAAACTTGATTTAACAAGAATATCAAACTTTAAAGATGAAAAAATTATGATACCTCTAATATTAATTTTATATTTGGATTTAGTTTGATAAAAATGTTAAAATTTAAAGGTAAAAAAATCATAAAATCTCCGATCTCGTATTAAAAAAAATATAAATATAATATAATATATATGAAAAAATTTAAACATGCGATATATTTTTTATGAAACGAAATTTTAAAACTTTCAATCAAAACAAATATTACATCAGTACGGTCACTACACAGACAAATACTGCAAATTGATTTTGGGACACCTGCCAAAAGGACATGGATGCTTTAAAGGTGTGTTCTTTGCCTCTATTGCACAGTTGCCGGCGGCGCCATCATGTCCCAAAATACCCGATCTTTGGACTTATGAGTTGGCTTTGGGGCTTGCATGAATTTTTTTTTGATTTTTGACTTAACATTCATTCGCTTCTTGCATTGAAGCGCATGCCCGAAAAAAAGCCCATGTTCGGATTCGAACCGATAACTTAAACCTCCTCCTTAATGGCAAACTGATCGACTCGCGTGTGTTTAGCATAAAATTTCGAGCCCTCAAATCCGTTGGGCCCTTCGTGGCCCCGTTAGCTGGCTTGCCAATCAACTCATCCAACTGCCAACTGTCAACAGGAGCAGGAAAGGGGCTGTTCTCGACGAGTTTACGTTTCTGGTTTTTGGTGTTTCAAAGCTGTTACCGTTTCATAATGACTAATTTATAGTGGCTTGGGTTACATACTGTTGTGCAAAAATGCCTTAGATCCCTCAACCAGAATAAACTATTTTGATAAGTGAAAAATAAAAAGACAATAAGAATAAAATAATGAACACAAGGATTTACGTGGTTCGACTTAAAAATCTACGTCCACGGATCAAGACGATTAAAAAAGGATTTCATTATGAAAATAAGGAGATTCACAAAAGACAATTAGAAATAGGACACTCTTAGCCAAAATCTCACTGTGAGCACTTATTATTTTTCTTGCTCACTCATTCTGATTTTTTTCCTCTTTCTCTCTAATTTTTTTCCTTGATTTTTAAGGATGGAGAAGTTCTATAACTCCATGCTTATTTATCGATAAAATTTTTTTGTGTTTTGCTGTAGCAACGATGGTTATCAACGTAGCAACAACGACTGCCGCTGTAGCAATAACATTGTTGCTGTAGAAACAACTACTATTACAGTAAATTATATGTTCACTGCAGCAAGAGTCAAAATTTCATGTTCACATTTGTTAGAATTTTCAAGTCATTTCTCAACACATACATATCAAGAGAAATTAAAATCTTAATAAGGATGTCTTTTTATTCATATCAATAAATGTCTATTGACGTATAGAACCTTGGGTTACAATACATACATAGCGAGAGGTTACCCTTCTTCTTATAGTTTAGATTCTATTTAGCCCGGTGCTTGTAATTAGAAACATAAAAAACAGTACTAAATAGTTCCAGTGAGAACCTTATTAAAAATGGGACGAGCTTTACACATGGCTTCCAGTGGCAGGAGTTTAGGCATGGTGGTACCATCACCTTCAGCCATGTCAATTTCTTGCTCACTCACTCTTTCCCATTCAAAACATTGGATCAACGATCCCAAAGTCAGCCCAACCATTCGTTGAGCCAAGCCAGCACCAGGACATGCCCTTCTTCCCAATCCAAATGGCATCAGCTTGTTTGATTCCCTTTCTCCATTTCCAAACCTCTCAGGTTTAAAACTTGTTGGATCATCCCATAACTCAGGGTCCCTATGAATGGCCCACGCGTTGATCAATACGATCGTGTCACGTGGCACATCGTATCCAGATATCCTGCAATCAGACGATGCCATGTGTGGAAGTAGAAGTGGAGCTGCTGGGTTCAACCTAAAGGTTTCAAAGATGATACTCTGAAGGTACTGTAGCTTGGGAACATCCGGTTCATCAATCAAACTTTCTTCCCCAATTTGACTATCTACTTCAGCTCTAGCTTTCTTTAACACATCTGGGTTGTTAAGTAAATTGGACATTGCCCATTCTAATGTAACTGCTGACGTGTCAGTTCCTGCAAGCAGCATTACCTACACAAAAGTGGTTATAATTTTTATTTATTTGTAAACATATAATAATTTCATAAAAATTAATATAGTTCGAGGATTACTTCACAAGTAAAAATTAAAACATCTTATTCCAACGGAACTCAAAAAGAGGCTCCACCAACAGGGAGATCGGTGGGCAGAGAGAGATTGAACGAAAAGAGTAGGGGAAAAGGGATTCTAAAAGAGTTCGGCTATGCATTATAGACAACAGGGAAGGTGGTCAGAAGATCCGAACTTCCTAGTTCTTTAAACAAAAAAAAAATCTAGGAACAGGTGTCACACTCAGCTATGTATAACTTGAGGGTCTTACCTGAATTAGCCCTTTGATAAGTTGATCAGTGTAGCAGTGAGGCTGAGTTTGTTGCAAAGAAAGAAGATGATCGATCATAGTATTCCCAGCTTGGCTCTTACCTCGAATCTCATCAATCAACTTTTGCAGGAACCCATCCATCCTCCCTCCAAGATTCATCAACTTCTTCACATAACTCCTTCCACCAAACCAATTCAAAATGGGGATAAAATCTCCTGGATGGGCTACTTCTCCACTCGCAAGAGACTCCTCCATTAACTCCTTAAACTCCTTGGCCTCTTCTTCATTTGTCACTCTATCCCCACCATGGTACCTCTTCCCTGCTACCATTCTCATGATGTTATTAAATGTTAAATCAACAAACATCGATTTTAGCTCCACTTTGATGAATCCTTGTTGAGAATCACTATGTAGTTTCATCAATAATCGCTTCACTTCGTCTTTTCTAATGCTTTGGAATGCGCTCAAGCGATTTGGTGAGAGGATCTCAACGGCACTAATCCGACGTAGGTTGCGCCAATGATCATCATAAGGTGAGCCAACGACCGTACTATAGTTGTAGCCAAGGTACTTGCCAATTAGTAACTTGGGTCGGTTAGCTAGGACGATATCGTTCTTGGTGAAACATTCCTCGGCTGCTGTTGAAGATGAGATTACAACTACAAGGCGGAAGCCGAACCGAAGGGAGCAAATTGGGCCATGTTTTTGTGACAGACTATGGTAAAATCGATGGATGGGTCGTTTTATGAGATGGAGATGGCCGATAAAGGGAAGAGGAGGTGGACTTGGAGGAAGGTTTTTGTGGGAAGTTTTGGGTTGAAACAACAATTTGAAACAAAAGAGAAGAATGACAAGAGATAGAAAAGAGTAAAGGATTAATGTTGATTCTTCCATTGTTTACAACTTTTGTTAGTTCAATAAGAGCTTGTTTTGTATAGGGAAGAAGAGAGAGCTTTTTAATGAGTTGATCCAATAAATTATTGAAGGGAAAAGTTTTTTTGATAATTCACCAGTCAGTCATTTGCGTGATTGACTTTTCTTAATGATACATCAATGGTCCTATCTCCCTCTTTCTGTCGTCTATCTATACTTCTACACGTTTTTTTCGTCTTAGTCCACACAAAAAAAAAAAAAAAAAAAAGAAACGTTTTTCATTTATATGGTACTTGTTGACAGGTTCATAGTATCTTCCTAAACTCTATCATCTTCAATTACCAAAAAAATACTTGGTAATCGATCTTAAATCAGTTTATTCTCAGGAGTTTTTAAACTTCACAAATGAAATTAAATAATTGATAAATGTTCATTTATTTTGGATAAGAATCATTTATTCATTTAATCATTAATTTTCTTAATGCCTAGCAGAATAATCTATTCAGTTTTTCTCAGCCGCATTATCTAATACCCAGCTGGCTCAAGGAAATCACATTATTTTGTTGCCATTTTATCTGTCTAGGCCTGAAGATTATGTAAAGATAAGCCAGTTCTTTTTCTTAACTAATGAAATGTTATTCATAAGCTTTATTTCCTCTATAGTTTTTCATATCCTGCAGTGCTTCAGTTTTAAAAGAAAATTGCTACCTAATTCAGCCATGGAAGATAAAGTAAACAATCCCCAGAGAATGTTCACAATGTTCCAAATTGTTAAGCAAATCCCAAATTAATCTGCAAATCAGGCTCAAATATTAGGATCCAACATTTCCATCAAATGGATCCCATTTAATGGTGGCTCCTTATACAATTTTTGACATCCCCACAAACAATTTAAGTTAAGATTATCATGGCCAGACCCATAACTAAGAATGCACCAAACTGGTCACTATTCCCCCCAATCTAGACTAATCAGTAATTTTTCTTTTAACAATCAATCTACTTTTGGCATTGAATCTGGTCACCATTTACTTTTTTTTAATAGGACCGTTTGCTAGGCTTAACAAATGCTAAATGATTCTCAAATCCAGAAATAAACTTTTCAAAGAAAATAAAATAAATAAAAGATGAAGCCAGAAAGGACAATCAAGAGAGGAACCATGCATCCATCCACAATTACTACAGGCTTTGTAGCTTTGTTTATGAGAAAAAAGGGTCTCAAGTTACCATCAAAGTCCCCCTAATTTGTTCCACTTCCCTCTCTTTTTTCCTCTCAACTTTTTTATTTATTTTTTTCCGGATGCAACAGATAATGAAACAGAAGAAGGATTGATACACGAAAAGCAAGGAGAGTGTGAAGCAGTTGAAATGCAGAAATATCCAGATCCAAGTTTTGACTTGGATACTAAGAAACTTGCAATTGAGGAAGAGGTGGATCATCATGTTTACGAGATGCTACAAGCTCTTGAAGAAGACACGGAGTTTCTAAAGAAGTGCATGGGCTCCATCAAAGAAATTAAGGAGACAAAGGGAGGATGGATCTTCTCCAAGAAATCTTGCAACATGTCGGAGGCCTTAGGGCTTTGGAACTCAGAACAAAAAACGTGAGCGATGATCTATAAGGGTGATTTTAGGCTCGTCATATATACATATAAAAGGAATCAGCTGCGAGGTAATTCAATTTTTGTTTTCAAATAAATTGAAGAATTGTCAGCTGAGCTGAGAACCTAGTAACTTGTTTTTCCTTCCTACTTTTTCTTTACTCTTTTCTCCACAAGGTTTGGAGGAAGGATTTGAAATGAGAGGGAAGGAGGCTTTATCCTTTTTCCAATCCTACTGTTTGCATCAGGTAATGTTATACGTGTTATGAACTTTTTGGAATATAAAACTGATAATTTCTATAGTTGTACGAGGAGTTGCCATTAATGTTTTTCTTCTTCTTTCAGTCCTCACTTAGTTTAAAAAAAAAAAAAAGTCATTTTTAAAAAACAGGAATTACATATGCAATTGCTTGTAAATTGAACAGAAATTATTCTCGGTTGCAGCTTCCATCCATGGGCTTAGTTTCTTCTTTAAATATCTACCTGTTACTAACAACATGAATTTTCCTCTGCCAAATAAAGTTAAAAATTATAAATAAAATTACTTAAAAGAAAAAGACCTGACATTAAATCATAATTTTTTTAATTCATAGATTCTTTAAAAAAGAGAGGACCACATTTTCCCTTTTTTTAAGAAATATATATTTTTTATATTTTATACTTAAAATATTATACAATTTGGATTATCCACTAATTTTCCCAAAAAAACCCCACACCCCAAAATTTTATACCGCCACGTCATCCATCCGCATGAACTTTTTTTCTAAACCGTCAATCATCTAGCATCAAACAAATCCTATCCGTTCATTTCCATCTAAAAATAAACAAATTTTAAAATTTTTTTGGAAACTGATCATCAAACAGTAGCTAAAGCTGTGTTGGCTTTGTGTTTTTGGTTTCTTCGTGAAAAGATTTTGGAAACCGAAGAAAAGAGAGGTTTTTGTGGGGACAGTGCCTTTGAAGTTCAAAGCATTGTTGAAGGAATTATCTTCTTTTTTTTTTTCCTATTTTTTCCTTCTTTCTTTGAAATTTTCTCTTTTTTTTTTTTTTTGCAAAATTAATGGCTGCTGAAGAGGTCAATAAGCCTCCTACTCTTCCTTCTTACCCACAGGTACATCTACTCTCCCTCGCAAGTTTTTTTTTTTTTTTTTTTACTTTTAACCATAATCAAAATTTGATCTTTAATTTTGTTTTATGGTTTACAAGTTTTTTTTTTTTAGTTTTGGATAACTTTTTTATGGAATATCAAAGAAAACCATTTACATGCAACCTCAAATTTGTTAGGTTTTGATCTAATTTGTTTTGTTATTTGTTTAATTTTTTTACTGATATAACATTATAAGTTTTTTTAAAGTGTCAATTTTTAAAAATCCTTTTTTTTTTTTTTTCATAAATCGCTTCGGTTGTCACTGATTTCTTGTGTTAATTTTTAAAAAAGTTTTTCTTTAAAGACAGATGGTTTTTTTTTTTTTTCAGAATTGCCAGACAGACTAATTTCCATTGAATTTCGTTTTAAGTTATCATTTTTATCTTTTTTTTGCACTTTTGATATTCATCAACAACATAAGGATTTTTTTTTTCATTTGTAATTTTTCCCATTTCTTTCACTTTTAAGCATAAATTTTGAGCTTTCTAGCTGAAAATTGTTTGAAATCTAAATAATTAATCTATATGTTTATCATGCAGTTGATTCTTAATGCCATTGAAGCATTGAACGACAAGAATGGTTCAAACAAGACTTCAATATCCAAATACATTGAATCCAAGTATGGAGATTTGCCTGTTGGCCATACCTCCCTCCTTTCTCACCATCTTAATAGAATGAAAGAAACTGGAGAGCTTATTTTTTGGAAAAACAATTACATGAAAGCTGATCCCAGTGCCCCACCAAGGCGTGGCCGTGGTAGGCCTCCGAAACCCAAGGTTCCTTTGTCGTCGGCTGTGGTTTTAAGCCCTGCAAGGCCTAGAGGCCGCCCTCCAAAGGACCCCAATGCTCCCTCTAGATCCCCAAAGCCTAAGGTGGCTTCTGGGACTGGGAAACCACGTGGAAGGCCGCGGAAGATGGCGCGGCCGGAAGGAGGAATAGGTGGGAGTTCCACAACTATAATGGCGGCCGCTGTTAGGCGTAGGGGACGTCCTCCTAAGGTGAAGGCTTCGGCATTGACTGAAGTGAGTGTTGAACATTAAGATGATTTTAACCTTGTAGCGGTTCTTACTGTTTACTTTGTGTTTCTGTGTGTAGAATTGGCATGCTGTTTGTTATTTTGATAATTGTATGTGTTTTAAATGTTCTTGTAGAATTTAATGATGTAGTTGTCCCTGAGTCTGTCAAAATTCTCTTATTATTATTTTTTAGAGGATGATTAGTGCAAGCGAGTTTATTTATGCTGTGAGTGTGCTTGAATTTTGAATGTAATGCTTATCTATGCCATGTGTTTTCTGGCCTAACATTTGGTTTACTATTCAACTAAGCTGTTTTTATTTTGGCATTATCTCATTATGTTTTGAAGTTAAGAATACTGTCTGAAATTACTATTAGACAAGCTACAATTTTCGAATGAGTCAAAATGCTGAAATTTTAATTCGAACATTTTTGAAGTTGAGACTTTTAGTTACTCCAAAGTACAATGTTATTAATCCCTTACTTTTGTCGTTTGCAAATTTGTTAACACTGGATTATGGTTTTCCCCTACTCGTGTTGATTGGGTGGTTTTGTTGCTTGATGTTGTTTTTTGGATGCTATTTGAACAGTGCTAATTCAGGTTAATTAATATGGAAATGGGGGGTGTTAAGTCTTATTCTTGGTGTCTAGTAAAATTGGTTGATGTGAGATGTGACGGGAGATGCTAAGTTTGAAGATTGGAAAAGGATCAGACAAAGTTTGGGATGATTGTTGTTTGATGACTATGGTTATCTCCAATGCCTTTGAAGCCTTGAACAGGTTCTTGCCTTGACAAACGCCCAAGAAAAGCGATAGCTGGTCTTGATTTCTGATCTTCGTCAAAACACCTTTTGGTCCACTCATTGGTGATTGCTGATTTTGTGAGTGATTCTTTCCTTCATGTGGGTCACTTCACTTGCATAGACTTTGTCACTGTAATTGGGAACTGGTCTCATAATTAGAGCTTGGCAAAGCAATATGAATACAAGAAATTTGAAATCAACAGTTGATTAAGCATCAAATGTTAAAATTGTTAGGGGGCATTTAGTTAGGGGGAATATATGCATTTTTTCCCGAAATTTTATTGGTAGATATTTGAATACATCGTTTGATTTAAGCTAATTTAATTTTGGGAGAAAGTGACAAATTTTTAAGAGTACTTAAAATTTCAGAATAAAAAATCTACCTTTTTGTGGTATTATAGGATTTCGAAGAAAAAAGTTACGCTATTGTCAAATTTGACTTGAATAAAAAATTACTAAATAGTTGTTAACACTTTAAAAAGTATGTTTGGAAGTGGTTGCAAGCTAGTTGTAGGTTTTTGTTGTTAAAAATTTATATTACAATTAATGGCATTTAGCATGAAAAACGTTTAAATAATTTTATTCAATTTTTTTTGGGATTATTTAAAATATTTTTTGGCCAAAAACGTTTTAAATAATTTTTTTAAAAAAATTGATTGACATTATTTAAGACCTTTTTTGGTCAAAAACCTCTTAAATAATTTTTTACAAAAAATTGAAGGAGATTATTTAAAGTGTTTTTTGACAAAAAATATCTTAAATAATTTCAAAAAATAAGCATTAGAGGGAATGATCGAACTTATGATTTTATGATTAATAATTATATATTCTAACTAATTATGTTATTTTAATTTTTTTATATTTTATCTTTTAAATCTTATAGTAATGAGATTATTTAGGTTTTTTTAATTAAAAATACTTTAAATAATGCCATTAAGAAGCATTAAAATGTCAAAAAAAGAGGTCAAACTTGCAACTTTATAATTAATAACCATATTCTTTAACCAATTAAACTATTTCAATTTTTTTTATATTTTATCTTATAAATCTTATAAGTAATGAAAATGATTATTTAATGTTTTTTTTTTTTTTTAAATAATGCCTTTTAGAAACATTAAAATGTTAGAGAGGTCAAATTTGCAACCTTATAATTAATAACAATATATTCTAACTAACTAAGCTATTTTAGTTTTTTTATATTTTATCTTTTAAATTTTATAAGTAATGAAAATGATTATTTAAGGTGTTTTTTAGTAAAAAACATCTTAAATAATTTATTTTAAAAAAATATTAAAGATTATTGAAAACGTTTTTTGTTTAAAAATGTTTTAAATAATTCCCTTATAGTTTTTAAATGACATTTATTTGAAGTATTTTTTGACTGAAAATGCTTTAAATGATTTCTTTTAAAAAAATAAAAAAAATTATTTAAGATATTTTTCAATTAAAAATGCCTTAAATAATCATCAGTATTTTTTTATTGATGATATTTTATAATAAAAATAGTAATTAAATAAAATATTTATCTTCTTTTGTTATTAAAGACATAATTTATCGTTTGAATATTTATTATTAATAAAAGTTAATAAAAATTTATCATCATATATGTCAAAAAAGTTATGGTAATTATTTAAAAATTAATATATGTGAGTTTCTCTTAATTAAATGAGTGAATTTAACTATAAAATATCTTGAAAATTAAAAAAAAAAACTTAGATATCATAATTTTTAAAAAGTTATATATTTTTTTAGAATTCAAGATTTCACAAGCCAAATGCTTTTTTAGTGTCATTAGTTCTTTTATGAGAAATATTTTCCCTCTTCTGGAATCTTATTCTTAATTTTCACCAATATTCTGAAATTTAACATTTTTTTATGGTGTATGTTTTAGTCCATCATCAAAGGCGTTGAAGCCATTTCTGAATATAAATGTTACGTTATTTGTAAATAATCGAAACTGTTCCATTGTAGCACATAATAGCGTAATTTCAACAGAAATTTTGTTTTTATTAAAAAAATGGTTTTTTTGGAACCTAAAAACTCGGGCTTTAGGGTCCTTGTGCCCTAACCGTAAGTCTGAAAGTCATTAAGCGACTTGTACTTGAAACAATGGCAGGTTTAAGATCCCAGTCAATGGTAACTGAGCGTGGAATGGAACAGTAGGTACGATATTGTCAAAAAATTTAAAAGGTGGAAAACACAGAGAGAAAGAGAGACAGGGTTTGGATCTTCTTAACGTTCCAACAACGTGGATAAGATGGTGAAGTGTGCTTTCACTTACTTCCCATCTTTTTTGTGAACATGAATATATATTTAAAAAAACTTAGTATTTGCTTATCTAGGAAAAAAAAAAAACACAAAAATTATCCAATGCTGTCTGAATTTTGGATTATGGGGTCCTGTTGGATATTAGCCTATCTTCCTGTAAATAAAGCAATGGTAAAAAAAAAAAAAAAAATTGTAAGTAGTGGATTTATGAAATTCTATTTAAATTGCATTCCCCTTTCTTTCTTTACCAATGCAATGCAAGAAAACAAAAGCATGAAAGGATAAGAGGTGACATGTGTATTATTATCCACCTCAACTCAAACTCAGCTACTGCTATTACTTCTTCCCATTTCACCCTAATCCCACTTTCCATTACACAACTTCACATCAATAGTTTTGCTTCTTCTTTCCTAATCCCAGCTATCCACAAAAATTTCAGGATTTTAATATTCTTTTTAAACAATAATATATTATCTACTGAGTTTTGATATCCCCTCTTTCCCTGTTTCTCCTTTTTTTTTCAACTTCAATTTTCTGGTATTTCCAAGGAATTTAGTATATGTATAATTTGTAGGTATAATTCAAAGGAAGGAATGACGGCATTGAGACCAATGATGGTCTCGAAGTATAACCCACCACACTCTTCACAAACCTTAATCACCTGCCATGGAAAACCCAGGATTCAGTACTTAGAGGAAATACCTCAAAAGCAGCTTGTTCAGTCAAATGTAAATAGAAGGGTAGGAGTCATAGCAACAATGGCTTCTTTACTACTGATAAAGGAAGAGAATATTGCATATGGACTCGACCTAAAAATGGTAGCACCAGAGCAGACACTTGAAGAAGCAGAAAATGGGGTTCAAAATCATGCAAAAGCTTTGTTGCAAGTGAAAGATTTGATCGATTCAAAGTCTTGGCGTGAAGCTCAGAAGGAGTTAAGGAAAAGTTCATCATTGTTGAAGCAGGATATCTATACTATCATCCAAGGGAAACCTGGAGGTGAAAGGCCTCAACTTAGGAAGCTTTATTCTAATCTTTTCAACAATGTTACCAAAGTAAGATGTGCTTCCCATTCCAACTTTTTTTTCCTTGTATTTTGCTTTGTAGATTTTGAATGGGTTTTGAACATTGCAGCTAGATTATGCAGCTAGGGATGAAGATGCATCGGGTGTTTGGCAGTGCTATGAAAATATTGTTTTGTCTCTCAATGATATTTTATCAAAACTATAATCGAGTTCTTGTGCCATTGAAGCAATGTCCGGCTGATTATGCAGCTATATTGTGCTGGATGGTTGAAGATTTATCGCATGTTTTTTTTAATCAGCAAATTCCTGCTTATGATACTCACCGGCACGCAACGGCTGTTGACTTTTGTAGGACTTAATAGTCTACAGAGCAAAGAGATATACGGGTTTGCTTCGGCAAACGGGGACGTCCCAATGCCCATTGCTTAAACAGATTCAAGTAGGGGCCATGAAGTTCTACAGAAGCTAGGATTTTCCATTGCTATACTTTGGGTGCTCGTAAATTTCGAGTTTTCTTCAACTATTTGATTTGAATGGCAATGCAAGATTCTTAGGTATCATGTTAATCATTCACTTGAACTCGTAAAGCCTCAAAGAACTGATAAGTTATTCAATCAGGCTGATCTGTAAAGCAAATAGTGCAGGCCTCGCCTCTATCTAAATGTGCCATGTCGATAATCCGAGAGAGAAAGAGGGGAAAGCTAACTCTTTATAAAGGACACCATTTACAGTTAAATTCTGGATAAGCCCAGTTGTGAAAGTGAGCATTCAACTTCAACTACAGCTAATGAAACCTCTAGCTTACAGTAAAAGGGTGAGTAATAGGAATAAACGAACAGTAATGCTCATTCTCATACTAAAAACAAAACTTTGAAACTCAGAACAAGTGATGTAGGATCTATGCTAAGTCTTGGATTCGTCTACTCCAAATCCCATCACCTCAGCCATCTGATATGAAATGAAAAGAGCACACTATGCTTCAGGAGCAGTAACTTCAATGAATGACCAAAACCAAGGTCAACCCGTCATTCCATTCCAGGGAAGAGTTCTGATATTTTGTTGAATACATCCATAACCTGAAACACAAAAACAAATCATATAAAATGAATTATCAACAATAAGAGGTATCAAGAAATCAACTTTAAAGACAATATCTGCTGTGATCAAGAGCTAGGAAATGGCGGCAAAGGTTAAACAATGATCTGATATGCCATAGATATAATTTCATCAGTATTTGTCAGAAGCTCATTGAAACAGTAACATCATGGCCATGTATATATGTTTTGCATGTATTCGGACATGCAGGTCTACACATGTATTTCAGACAAGTAAACTAGGAGCAAAAAACAACTAAATTTTTGAATAAAAATGTAGCAATTTTCAGACATTATGAAAATATATGGTCATTAAGGAAAGGAAAAAAATTGTGCAGATAGAGGCAAGATACTCCAAGTGATGATCAATTTGCCCATAAATAAAATTTTAAAAATTAAATATACAATGTCAACAGAACAAAGGCCTAGATTACCTCCTTGTCATTTTGATATTTAGCAATACTCAGTGGGTTCTGTGAACACTGCAAAAGCAGCAAATAGTGAAGAGTATTAATACTTGAGATTTAGCATGCATGCATTACATCAAGAGAGATAATTAAGGATTCATCAGTAAATGAGATAGAACATACATCCATGATAGCTGCTTGAACTCTAGGGTTTTGGAACGCCATAGCAATTTCCGGATTGGCCATTATTTTGGAGATTACTTCTTCAGGTGTAAGCCCAATCTGATCTGCAAATGGGGAAAGGAAGAGATTAAGAACCTTTTTCGGGTAATAGATTACATTCTAGCAGGACAGAACTTGACCATCTAATTACTACATATATCACATATAAAGAACAAATAATGGTTCTGATACCCACCAAGCAATCAATATCTTATCCCAAGCATTTGAACACTTCAACAAAAGCTTCACACTTACCAAATTGCTGCTTGACCTCGGGACTGTTGAGATCAAAGTTTTTCAAGGAATCCATCATCTTATTGTCCCATTCAGCACTTCCACCCATATTATTTCTGGAGAATTATCAAGACGTACAGATAAGCATGTGGTTTCACCATAAACAGATCCAATTCTAGATAACAAGAAAATTAATAGAACAATAGCAAGCCTTAATACATATAATACAGGAAAATGAATAGGGATCAGCAATTCACATCAAGTTAATAAGTTCCATCTATAAATCACAACACTTATCTTTCAACCTCAAACACCTAAAACTCAAGCAATGCTAGGGTATAATGTAAACAAATTATGATTCTATTGGTGGAGAAACAGAGTATATTATGATTTTTTGTAATGCATAATATAGACAAATTTGGAAGAATCAATGAACGACCAAAGATTATGTTTTCCTGATCAACTGAAAGTTAATGTGAACCAAGAAAAGTTAGACGGGGTTAAAACTAAAGACCTGCATCCAATAAATGCATAAAATATGAGATGTGACTGACAATAGAAAAATTAAAAAAAAAAAAAAGAGAAAGACATCCTTTCATATTAGAAGGTGTTCAAAAAGCCAATTTTGGCTATGGTATCATGCTAATTTTGCATGTGAGAATGTCATGCCAACTTTAGATGACTGTCATTGTTAGTTTCTTACTCTTCAAACACTACAATAGACATTTAGGGAAAATTTTTTAATAAAAATTCATTAGCATTTTAAAATTGGAGTACAGAAATCCTATCATTCCAACTCCACCTTTAAAAAATTTGTATGAAAAAAAGCAAGGAATCATGTATCAATAAACCTAAGTAAGAATAGGATAACTGTACAAGAACAAGAATGAGAAGCAAATATGTAAGTTTTTTGGAGGCAATGTTTGTGACAAACTGTAAATTGAGTGAAAGATATGACCCTTAAAAATAACCAAATGCAGAAAGTTAGAACAAAGCTTACAGCATGTCCTGCAGTTGTTGACGGTATTGAGGATTTTGTAGCATCCCTGCAAAAAATATGCTTGTTAAAAAAAATCCACAAAAAATTGCAGCACTGCTTATGCATCAAATGGACAAAGCACTTTTATGAAACAAATAACTCTAATAAGTTGTCTGGGAAGTGAAAGAAGTTTTGCAGGATTCAGAAACCGGGGGAAATTAATTACAACCGAAACTCTTAAATATATAAGTATATGGGCAACAATTCCCTTAGCATTTAAAAAAAAAAGGCTTTCCAAAAGCTGAAAACTCTGATATCAAATTTAACCAGACAAGAGACAGAGGATCATCTCTGCTTTTAACATATAAATTTTACAGACACCAGAAAAGCCTACCCTTCTTTATCCCCCTCCATCCATCCTCCTCATCAAAAAAGAAAAAGAACAGAAAAACAGAGAAGGAAAGAGTGGTTACCAAAAGCATGGACTTACATTTAAATGTCTCAGGGTTCCTCATTTCCTCTGGCAAATATCTGTATGGATAAATAAAAGATTAAATTTCCTTGCAGCATTACTTTACTAGGAAGTCTATGTGTAAAAGCTTTTACAACAAACACATAAAAAAAGATTTACTTAGTGGTATTCTTTTTTTAGGGGTGCTATTAGGACTCAGCCGAAGGTCTCATATGTGAGGAGAGCACTGTATCTTATATCCCATCCAAACATCCCCAACCCTCCACCCTACCTCTTTTTTCCCTCTCTTTTAAGTTCTAAAAGTCTAATAAAAACCAGAAAGCTTCTCTTTTTTATTGGTAACATTACGGCTTCTCTTTTTTATTGGTAACATTACAGCTGGCCTTGAAAACGTCCACTTTCTAACTTCCATATTTAGTTACTATTAAACTTAAGGTAGAATTTTCTCCAATAAGAACATTGACAAATGACTTCCAGATGTGAAAATCCAATCAAGGGAAGCAAAAGGGAAAGCCAGGCTTGCTTATCCAAGTTTTAAGGGAAAAGGATTTATACTATTATTTAAAGATTAAGAGTTTTTGAGGGATTTTTTAGCAGACTTAATTTGTACCATACCTCAGGCACACCAAAATGACATCAATTGAAAAAAAATCAGAAAAGATAGAATATATGAGGAAAAGAAGCTATATTACGGATAAACCATCTTCTGCACTGTTGGATCTTCCATCATTTTCTCTAAAGCATCCACAGATAAGGCAGGACCTGCTGTTCCTGCAAATGCAATAGGATGCTTTGTTAAGCATTACAGAGAGAGAACAAAAGAAATTAGAAAGCATGCCCAAAATGTGCAGATGCATGATCAAAGCATTGGTATGCATGAGTACACTAAACTAGTGACAATGAGGAACCATGTATAACTTTAATCATAAAACAAACAAAGTGGCACCAATATAAGAGGGCAGCAGAAATGAATCTGTCAATGAGGTAATAAATCCAACTATTTAACCACCATTTAGCTATGTCAATAAATGCACCAGCAAACATCTATCTAAAGAGCTAAATATTGAACAAATAGCATTAATTACTAAGAAAATTATATGCGTATGGACACATGACAAATCCAGTGATTTTAAGCACTTACTCCCTTATTCCTATGCTGCCTAGTGCCTCCTATTAATGTTCCTTTATTTTAACATAATACCATAACTCAATCTATGATATCCCCCATTGTTGTAAGCTTTATTGATGTCTAATACATTAAAAAAAAATCATATTCAAATTATTACCTCCCATAGTCCCAGTAAAATTTTAAACAAATGGGAAAACTACAAGAGTTAAAAGTGTTGCACTTGACATAAAACACTCCATGTTTTTTCTCCTCCTCTTCAGACAGTAATGACAGCCGCCTACAAACCAAAATGTGACACACTTTCATTTCAAACAATTATTCAATCAGTTACAACTAGCTCTTTACATACCAGTTGACTGGTAAGCTCCGAAAGAACCAGCATTCTGCTTAGATGCAGCTCCATTACCAGACACCTTCATACAATATCCAAAAAATTGAATTTCTGAGAATAGATTCTTTGAACCTTAAAGAAATTTATCCATACTACCAAAGCCTCACAGCAAGAGCTCAACCAAAAACTTACATCCTTGGGAAACTGAGCATTGTTTGAAGAACTTAGCTCAGCTACATCTTCAAAAGCACTTTTCTGCACAGTATCTCCTGGAGAAACATCCACAAAAGCTGCAAAGAGAACTTTGAATCAATCCTGAAGAAATGATCTCAAGAACAACATCAGCAATTGGAATGAATTCAGAGGTTAACTGAATCTTCAATAGTCAATTTAGGAACTAGAGAATTTCGTTAATACTAGACATCAGTTTTATACTTCCACATAAATGGAAAAGACTAGTTAGTTTTGCTAATGTTTCATTTACATGAATGAACCATATAATGTTCCTTTTTACTTCAGAAAGGGAAGAGTTGCACATTAGACAACATCATATAGCAGCAGTAAAAGTTCTATTTTACCATATCTCTTCGTCTCTGCTATTTCTGTTTCACTTTTCACTTCAGTTGTTGGATCAGTCGCCGGGGCTGCTTCAACTTTCGTTGCAGGTACATCAACTGTAACTGCAGCTTGAGAAGAAGATGGAGAAGGGGGTGTGGCAGGTCCAGGCGATGGAGGTACTGGAAATGGAAATGGGGATCCAGAAGGAAAAGCAGCATTGCCAAATTGGTTATTTTGTGTATTCATCTGGCCCATCATGGTTTTGAAAGCTTGTTGCATTGCATATTTCTGAATAATGGAAAGGTAATATCATAAAGCAATGGAATAACAGACTTATACTGTGACCAGCTCCACTGAGTGCCAAAGGTTTAGCCATTTGCATTATCTTAAGCACATAAAGAAAGTTAAGTGTACCCAACAACAATGACCATAATGCATATACATTAAGGCACAACTCAATAACAAAAGATTCAATCATACAGATTACAGGCAAAAACAATAAAACTATACCTCATATGAGAGAACTCACCTTTAAGCTTGAAGCCACCTGTCATTTACAGAACTTCATCAAAATATGTACCAAAAAGATACCACTTCGGCATTTCCATTATTCATACAATAATACTAAAAAATCACCGAAAGCAATTTAATTGTGGTGCTCACCCATGAAAAAAGCGCAGAAAGCCCAACACCTACTCCAACCCAAAAGAGAGGTGACCCTCTACAAAACATAAACATACAAACAACTAAGCAAAGAAATAAATGTTCATAAAACAACACACACACACACACACACACAAAAAGAATCTTTCCGATCATTACTTTTTTTATTTCCTTTTTGCTTCAAAATTGCTATAAAGTAAAAGTAAATAATAAAAAATATATATAATTTCATTAAAAATTGAGTAAATTTTTAAAATTTAATATAAATTCAAATGTATTTGTTTCATATACAAGTAAAATCATATACTAATTCGTAAACCATGTAAATTAAGACTATGTTTGTTAGTTGCTAATTGCTTTTTGCTCCCTAAAAAGTTACTAAAAGAAAAAAGATTAAAAATGGTTAAATGGCTAAAAATGCAACATTAATTTCTATACATAGTACTACTTTTTATTCCACATTAAAGTAAAATCACGAAATTTTTTCTCCAAACAAAAAGTTTACAATTTTAATCTTCAATTGTTCATATTTTTTCCATTTCAAAGCAGAATTTAGAAACCGAATGTAAATAGAAAGAAAACAGCGATTAAATTACACTTGAGAGGACGGCAGTGGCACTGTTGGATTAGGGTTGACTCTAACTGATGAAGTTTGTTGATTACTTGAAGAAGAAATGCTCGCAAACCTCTCTTCTCCAGCCTTTGTCAGTACTTCATTAACACGAAACCAAAAAAAAAAAGTTCACAATTTTAAATTTTAAATTTTAAAATAAAAACAATGAAAAAAAAAAGAACAAAATTACCAATTTGGGGGAGACGTCGAGGAGGAGAAGCATGGGCGGAGAGGGAAATTCGGGAACGAAGAGGGGCAATCCTGGAAGTTCGAAAAGTGAAGGTTTTGGTAGGTTTTTTCAGAGTGTAATTAGGATTACTGTATCCTAACAAAAATAACTTTGGAGATGATGAAGATGAAATTAACGCCATATTCATATTTTCCATCGAATTTTACAACCCAAAGGAAAAAAAATAAAAGTAAAAAAAAAAAAAGGAAAATAAATGGAAGTTGAAGTGAGAAGAAGAGTGAGGGAGAGAGAGCCGAGGAGAAGACGTTGGAACGCAGGATGACAAAGGGAAGGAGAGAAATGGGTTAGACTCATGTATGTTTCACTCATACCTAAATTTTGGTACTTTCGAGGTGTTTGTTTATTTGGTTAGTTGGCTTGAAATAGGATTTAGCTATTCCCTTTCCGATTTCTATTACCGTATTACTCCACTTTTAGAAATAAATTCTAAAGTTTTTACCTTTTTTTTTTTTCTAAGCCAAGATAAATGCGTAAAGAGTTTAGAAAAATATATTAGAAACAATTTAAATGTTCTTTTAACATGTGTTTTCCAATTATATTTATTCATTTTAAAATTCGAAGGATATTTCAAAATAAAATATCAAATTATAGTAACCATTGTAATTGTTTGTTCTATATTAAATAAAATGTTACATTATAAAAAATTCGTCCAATTCGTTCAAACTTAAACCTAATTTGTTCAATCCAAATTCAAAACGATAAAAACCTAATAACTTGAATGATTCAAGTTATTCAAAATCGAAAATATCAAAATTTCTTTGGATGCGAAATGATTAAAAAAAAAAAAAAAAAACTTGCAAATCCAATATGAAAATAATAAGGATTTAATGACATCTTAGCAAAGTCAGGCTCAGGGACGGCAATCAAGCCCGTCCCCGACGGGTTTCAGCTCGACCCGACCCATAAGGTCGGGTTTTTTTTTTTGAATTTTGAGTTTTCGGTCAAAATCGGATCGGATAAAATTAGATAACAATCAGAATCAAGTCAGGTTCGGATATGCCTAAAACCCGACCCGACATTATTAAAAAATTATTTTTTAATTAATTAATTATTTATTTATATATATATTTATATAATAATATTTTTAAATATTTATATTTAAAAAATAATATTTTATTAATTTCGAATCGGGTCGGATACAATTTACATATTATCGGGTCGGGGTCGAGTTCGGGTATTAAAAAATTCGGATCGAATCGAATCGGGATTGGATTTGATAAAGCATAAAATCGGGTCGGATTCGATAAAGCATATAAAATCGGGTCGGGTTCGGGGCGAGCAAAACCCACCCCGAACCCGACCCGATGCCATCCCTAGTCAGGCTCGTCCATCTTAATTTTGTACAAAATTGAATGGCCACTCCTCCTTAAAACACCAGGTCACTATCTCCATAATAAGAGAAAAAAACTCCCTGTGACCACCATTTTTACGCTCCGAATTTGATTGAATAAATTGCAAAAGATCCCAAAATACACCAACCACCAAGCCCTACAAGAGAATTACACTCCAGACCATGACTTTGATTAACACTAAAATGCTTGTTAAGCCTCCCTTGCCATAATTTCGACCTGGTGGTGAATCGGAACTAGTAGAATTCATGGATGGCGCTGTGATATTTACCATGGTTCCATTCCTGCCGAGGCTGCATCATATATCACAAAAAAATTGAGGTTCTGACTATTAGTTTTTATGAGAAAGATAAGCTTTTAACATATTTAATAACATATGGAACAAGTAAAAACTATAAGCCAGATGGCTAAATTGTTACCTTCCTGGAAAAATACAAGAACCATGACCTGCAATTAGCAAAATTGCTATTAGTTTTCTTCCAATGTAAGTTTTCAATCTAGAAAAGAAGGGCTGTATTAATGTAGTAAGCACAAGCTTTCAATGTATTAGTATCGATGCATGTATTAGTATCAATGTATTACTTGGATTTGTAGTTGTAATATCTGCAACACCATTGAAGTCACATGCTTCAGAAGTCTTCCCCAACCGGTGATAGTAAGTGTTGAATGCATAAGTTGCATGGGCGATCACATTGTCTGGCTCATAACATGGTTTTCCTTGCAACAATGGTGAACAATCCACCTTGCCAGGTCCACAAGCCCAATCTAAAGCAGCCTGCAACATCTTTGGATCAGCACCATCCTTTGCAGCACAATAAGTTTGGTTAGTAGTATCATTTGCTAACAACGATCCTGACCCAGTCAAGCGTAATATATAAACAGGGTCACCATTCGCATCAAACAATCCCCAATTCTTCTCTGAGATTGGCCCTGGTTTCATGTTCTCATTATACAGCTCATAGATGTAAGTACTAACAGCAATTCCAGGGCGCTTAGGAGTTCCAGTTTTATTTATCACATGGCGGATCAAGTTGCTGTTGTAAGTGTTGGCATTCTCTATTGTTGCATCTGGCTCATTAGAATCACCTTTTGATGGCCAGCCAGTTTCAGTCACTATAACAGGAATGTTGGTGAAGTTTAGAAAAGCCATAGCAAAATATGCAGCATCAACCACAGCATCAAAGACATTGGAGTAATGGACAAGTGTGTTAGAGTCAACAGCTTCCTTGGTTGGAGAGAGAGGCTTGAAAAGTGCATAGTCTAGTGCAATCACACCATTTGATTGCATATAGTCATAGTAAGGGTATAGATTAAGCATGAGAAATGAGCCTGAAGACTGCAAGAAATTGAGCATAGGGACCAAAACCGGATTCCATGAGCGGTTGAAGAAGGCTTGGGAAGGTGGGAAAGAATCAAGGATTATGGAGGAAGAAAGAGGTGAAGACACTTTGATTTGTTTATCTAAATTGGATGCTACAAGGGCCGAGTGAATGAACTTAATGGCATTCACAAGGACTGGTGCTGCATTAGGAAGAGTAGTCAAAACTTCAGAACCTACACAAATTGCTGTGATGCTGGTTGCAGGATAATGTGCTACAATGTTCCGAGAGACCCAATTAGCAGCAGTGGAGTTTGATTGGCCAATGCCAAGTAGTTGCTCATTGGGGATAGAGACCATAACACGAATACCACTGTTTGCAAGAGCAACTAGCATGCCTTGGTCAGCATTGTATAGCCTAACATGTCGGATTTGCTGAGCTTTAAGAAGAGCAACCACCTGAGTTGGGTGTGGCATGTCTGATAGGTCTGTTCCTATATTCACACCAATATATGGATCTGCAACAACATTAAACTAAAATAATTACAAATACACATTCAAAATTTTAAACACATTTTCCATTTTACATTGATTTGCCAGCTAATTGTTGCACAATTTTAGCTCCCCCAAACTTAAAATTGTTGTATATGTACATTTTATCAAATCTTTTTATAGAGCAATGCATGCGTCTTCCTGATGCAATCAGACTGTTATTGTCAATCATGGGTGCTTGCTAGCTACATCAAAATGATAAAAATAAAAAATACTAAAAAATAAAAATAATGGAGAATGGCATGTTCCCTATGCCAATGCCGACGTTATGTTCTAATATCTAGGCAAAAGTACTTACATCCGGTAACCTTTAGACCACTTTTTCACTACCCAGACAAACGGTAATGCCACTGCCCAAGATTTTCTTTATATATAAAAAAATACAGTAGTTGCTAGAATGAATCAGCGAAATGACCTCTAAATCTAGCTGGAAGACACTATTAGAGCTACCTCGATTTTGATTAAAAAATATGTAGTCGGTCGGGGAAAAATATTCTTGAAACCCCCAGCATGAAAGCTGCCTTCCACAATGTACATAGACAAATCTCTCTGTCTTCCACAATGTAATTCAAAAAAATAATTGAATTACAGTAACCGCATCCCCTTACATGCGGTTAATACCTTTCTTCCCAGGAGAGTTTCTCTTTAACACCCCCCAACTTCCCTTCTGTCCTTAGTTATTCTCTAATTTAAGGCTTCCAACCTACTAAATTCCACAGGCAAAATAAAAAAGAAAAAGAATTCCAAATTCCAAATTCCAAGACAGACAGATCACATTTTCTAAGACCTTTTTAACTCTTTTAAGTTGCAATAGCTCATCTTCATCAGATTTCCATCACTAAACTGAACACAAAAAAAAAAAAAAAAGATTGCAGACAATGTTAGCCCATTGCAAAGCATTTGAAGAACATTTGTTAGAGATTCAGAGTCTTAGAAGAAAGTATCAGGTTATAGTTGCAAACCCTTTTAGATGAACTTCTCAGACATTGAGAAATGGAAAAGAGAAAGATAAAAGCCTTACCTTCATCAGCTATTGCTTGAGCAACTGCTAAAAGAAGAAGAAGAATAAGCAAAGCCATAGGTCAAAATGATTCTGATCAAACAGACAAGATTCAAGACTGAAGAGAAGACTGAAAGAAAGAAAAAGAGTGAGATGTGGAAAACGGCAACAAGTAAAAGGAAGTGGGCAAAGGTGTGAGAAAATAAGAGAAGAAAAAGAAGGGAGCGACTGACTACTGAGGGAGGGAGAGCTAATGAGCTATAACTACACGGCTACAATTTATAACTGTGAAACTAGTAAAAACAAAGTAATGGAAGTGGGGTAAAGCTAGGAGAAACAAAAGACATAAATAACTCAAAACTGCCTTAAAACATGTAATGAAATTGTCAGCAGATGAACGGCTAAGATATCATCTGCAGCATGTTTGTCAGTTACAGCAAATAATGGACAGTATCTTAAAGAACTTTTTGTAGAGAGAAAACCCAAAACCCAACGCCAAGGAACCTTTTTCTTCTTAGTATTTGGATTTTACTTCATTTCGTTGGATTTAGCCGTTACAGCTTGCTCATAATTTGCAGTCCATTTCTCAGGTTTTGGGTACCTATGGATTTGAGGTGTTTGAGACAAGGAGTAGAGTTTGGGCTTGTGGGGCACCCTTTGCTTAGATACAAACAAAAGCACCCAAGGTAACCCCATCAGTTGGTCTCAACGGTCATTTTCTTTTTCCTTATCATTATCACTATCATTATTATGACTTACATATAATAGGACAGATTCTTTACCTTTACCCTTAATAATGAATGGCAAATTAAATGTGAAGTTGTCAATGTTGGAATGATTTCTAACCTTCAAGAATATACTAACTAATAATAGTAATTTAAAAAAATACTCTTAAAATACTCAATAAAAATTGCCATAAAACGTTGGCCTAGCAGCCCACAGCCCAAGAACAATCTCTTTAGGTTAGTAGCCCACAGTCTAAGTACTAACTCATTGCGTCAGTAGCCTACGGCCCACTTTAAAGAAACTTAACAAGAGAAGCAAAACAGCCATATCCCTCCTCTCCTCTGCAAACTTCACTCTCTCCTCCCTCTCTGCCGAGTTCCAATCAAAGTTTCCCACTCGTTCGCCATTATACGCGCCTTTGCCTCTCAAATTTCGGTTTTTTTTTTTTTAACCTGAGATTATGGAAACCCTAAATTTGATATTTTTCCTTTTAATTTGATAATTTCTGTCCTTTTCTTAGATTTGATGTAGCGAAAGAAAAATCCATGGATTGTCTTTGTGTTCCTGAGGGTGAATTTGAAGAGTTGCTTGAACATGTTCCTTTATCAACAAGACGAAAATTATTACTTTCTTCCACCGTTTCGTTTAAAAACCAAGTTAAAAGCTCCAATTCCCTGGTAATTACTTACATGTCCAGTATATTTCATTAAATTATTTGTTTTTGTGACGAAATTTGCTTGTTGGCTTTAGTTTTAGTATATAAAAATGGGATTTTAGGGTTTTTGATGGTAATTATTGATTTGGTTTTTTTTTTTTTTTTGTGATCAAGTTTGAAAATTTAAGTGTCTACTTTGATGCTTTGATATAGACATCATAAGTTGAAGAAATTTTGCTGTAAAGCTAAATGAAGATTATTCAAAAAACGAAACAAAATGAATCAATGGCATAGTTTTGTAACTTAGTATGGAATAATATCAATTTCAAAGGCTGACTTGAAAAGAAAGCTTCTTAGTTTGTGTGGTTTATTGTTTAATTATAGGTCTATCTCTCTGGTCGTTGAGTTTAGTTAATCTAATGGCTTTGTTGATCGGTGATTCCATCTGTTGAACTAAAGTGGACTTTGCTTAGAACATTTGAACGTCTGTCAGTAAACATGAGCTTTATCGTCAGTAGTTGAAATGAGATTTCACTATAAGTTGGATGCTAAATGAAGATAAAACTAGAAATATTGTCATTTTATGTGAATTTCAAATTAGCAATTATTTCTGGTCAGAAAAAAAGGGCAATTATTGTCTGTGTGTATTTATGTTTTGACTCTCTTGTTTGTTTGTTTCTTTTTTTCTTTCCCATGTTATATATATTGGAGATTGGTATATTCAGGGCCTTCTCTCTCTCCCTCCTTGCACTGCCGGAGATCAGGTGGATCAACATTTGCCAAAAGAAGACGGTCCTAATTGGAAAGTTACTGCTGATGCAACCAATGAAGTTGCAACCAATGAACATTCCTTAGATTCTGGTGCAGTTGCTCGATGTTCTCAGTATACCACTTCTTGCCAAGGTGTAGGTTTGCCTATAAATGGCAACAGCCAAGGAGGTCAAGCAGGCAAGCTGACAGGTACTGAAGATAATGCTCGTGCTTCTGGACTGGAAAAAATTAATGTTGGCGTCCCTCTGCCTCCAAATCCTGTGCTGTCAAATGTTTCTGATATTATAAAGGTTGAGTGTGCTCATAACATGCTGCGGAGTCTATCAAAAGATGATACTAATAGTTCTGCTGGTACTGGTGATATAGCTTCTTGCCAAGATGTAGGCTTGCCTATTAATGGCAACAGCGAAGGAAGTCAAGCAGATCAGCTGAAAGGTACTGAAGCTGATGCTGATGCTGATGCTTCTGGACTGGATAAAATCAATGTTGGCATCCCTCTTCTTCAAAATCCCATGCCATTGAATGCTTCTGCTATTAAAAATGCTGACTGTGCAGATAACATGCTGTTCAGTTTATCAAAAGATGATAGAAATAGTTCTGCCAATACTGGTCTTATGGCTGAGAATGCCATGGATAAAAGGCTCAGTGAGTTTACATTTGATGAACTTGACCACATTGTATTGAAAGAAAGACAAAAATTACTTCTAAAAAGGTGCCATTTTGTTTCTGGTGATTATTGCTTATTTCAAGTTAGGCATTGGGTCCATATGTTGTACTTTTTAAAACTTGCCAGTGTTTAACAAATAGTTAATTTTTATGTGTGAATTTACAGGAAACTAACGGAATTGGAAAAGCCAGCTCTTGAGGTAATTTGTGTTCCTTTTTACAAGTTAGAAGTATGATCTATCTTTGTTTTCAAAGTTTGCAGGCAGGATCATGGCGAATGCAATAGAAGTTCTGCACCAGTTTGACGGGATAACTACATTTTCAGTTTTTATTTATTGTACTTTATAAATATTTTTTGGTATATCCTCTAGGACCACTCCCTTACCTCTTCTATGAGAACAAGGATTAAATGGGGAATAGAAGTTGAATCTGAGTTTTTTCTCTCATTGCTTTCTCTTCTCTTGCCTTGCTGGAATTTGCAAAACCAGTTCCAGAGGGAAATTATCTTGTGTTTTTTTATGTTGGAAGTAAAACCTTTGTTTGTCTTCAAAGAGTTCTGGAAGTTGAATCTGAGTTTTTTCTCTCATTGCTTTCTCTTCTCTTGCCTTGCTGGAATTGGCAAAACCAGTTCCAGAGGGAAATTATCTTGTCTTTTTTTATGTTGGAAGTAAAACCTTTGTTTGTCTTCAAAGAGTTCTGGACATGCTTAGAACATGGTAGTTCTTGTACATTGTTTATACTAGTTTTATGGGAAAACTTTGTTTCAATTTTTGTTAATTGTGTTTTGTAATTTCTTCTTACCCACTACCTCTTCTATGAAGAAAATGATTGAATAGTGAATGCAAGTTTTAATGTGACTTTTTTCCTTTTTTTGCGAAATATCTTTGTATTGGTTATTGTTTGTTAAATTGGGGATAACAGTATTATCTGAAGCTTGAACTTTGACTTCTTAGCTCAATGGTTTATGGATCAATCTTGTTGTTTTGAGTAATATGGTGTAAGCTCATATTCAAGCATTTTCCTTCTCCTTTTTGGATTTTTTTTTGTTCATTTTCTGATTTTTATGTCAATTAATGGTACACAGGGTACCTCTGTGGGGTTGGCAGAAGATCTTATGGAATACTCTGCCAAGATAATTAAAGAAGAGCTTCAGCCTATCGATGGAGAATGTATGACAGCTCGAAATCAATTTAACGACATTCCTGTAGGAAGTGCTTCGGATCTTTCTAGTTGTTCAGTGAATGGTTCATCTGGTTTGGAATACTCTGCTGGGAGGAACAAAGAAGAGCTTCAATTTGTTAATGGAGAATCCTGGTTGGTTGGAAATGAACTTAATGTCATTCCTAATAGAAGTGCTTCTGATCTTCAAAGAACTTCTGCCACTGGTACAATGGATTATATTGTTTGTTGGATGTCTGCTACAGGTAACAATATTTACTATTGCCTGGTTGTTGTGTAGGGACTGAGGCAGCTAGGTCAGAAAATAGAATGGAAGAAAGCAACATAATATGTCCCTCTGAGAGAACATCCTTGGAGTTCAAATCACATGATGGAGATGATTATGTTCCTGCAAGTACAAATAACATATACAATTCAACTCTGAATACTTCTGTCAAAGTGAAAGTTGAACCATTGGATTACAATAACTTGCAAAATCCAGAAAAGAACACTTCGGACAACATGGTATCAATAAAGTATGAAGAGGACATCTCTGATAGGATAGACTATATGCTACTACGAGATCGGATGAAGCTGCTGACATCAGTTGAGGAGTTTGAATTGAAGGCTTCCAGGAATTTTGAGTGCTTGAGGAAAACTGATCCTGCAGCCTGTGGGTTTAGCTCCATTGTTTCTGAATCTGCCGAAACACTAAGGGTAAACCGTCCAAGGAAAAGAAAGAAGACTGCCACGTAGGATCTGTTTTGCCTTCTAGTTATATCCAATGTTTTTGAATTGCGCTTCTCTGTGATCGTTGTCTCAGGAATCTATTGCTTGTGAAACTAATTTCAGGGATTCAGTTCTAACAGCTTTAGAAGAAGACGCACCTGGACTTCTCAAGGTAGTGTATGCATTATACTTTCTTCTTTACGGTGAAACACGGGTTGATTTTCTATAGGAATGTCAACTGGGTGGTTGTTTATGTAATTTGAAGCTACTAGGGCTGGATTGTCATCTTTAGGTTTCTTAAATATATCAATTGCAGGTTTTGCTTGATAATGGTGTTTCAGTTGATGAAATTAAGCTTTATGGGGAGTCAGAGAATGATGATGCCTTAGATGAATCATTCAACGAAGGCAGCTTCTCAGAGCTTGAAGCTGTGATGACAAAGGTTCAAAAGGGTTATTGCCTTCTATACTTATTTTGTGCAGTTTTATTTTTGCCGTTTCCTTAATGTGTTTTGATGCTTAATTCAAAGGAATCTGACAGATCAGTTTCTAAGGATACTTACAAAAAGTTGAAAAACTAAGCGCTAATGTTTGGTTTATCTATACATAAGCCAACAAGTAAAGTTCACTTCATTTAAATTAAAAATGGAGCGGTCAACAGATTTAATAGTATTATTTCCCAATCATTGCTGAGAATTGTCCTAATTGAATATGTTTTAAGTTGCTCCCAAAGCAGATAGGCACAACTTCTTTTCTGCTTACGGCTTTTAGTTTAGGTGACCTCAGAGTATGGGATATAAGGCTTAGTTTTTTTTTGTTGTTGTTGTTGTTGTTGTATGTACACATCATACCTTGAAGATGTGTTTAATTTGGTCTGTTCGAGTTTAAGAGGCACCCCTGCTATTCAAAAGACAATTTTATTTTTTCATCCAACTTTAAAGGGGACTCCATATGAATAATTTATTCTCTAGTTTCTCTTTGACAATATGAAAAGGATTAACAGTCTGCATAGCAGGAATTAATTATCAATGAACTGAGATTTCTCTATTTTCCAAAACTTCTATTTGCCACATTGGATTTAAAATTCTTTTCCTTCCGAATGGCTTCTGATGTTAGCTTTTCTATTAATAATGTTTGGGACAGCTATTCTCTCAACCCAGCTCCTTATTGAGGTTTGCCACTTTACGATGCTCAAAGGGCTCAAAACCTAGTTATTGCGTGGCTTGCCTATTCTCACTTGTGGAACAGGTAACAAGCTTTGTACGGCATAAATATGTTGAATTTGTACTCCATAACAAGTTTACTTTGTCTTCAGTCATTAATTGCTCTTTTAATTTATATATTTTTTTAACTTTTCTCCTTTTTCCTACTCTTGCAGACCCGGTATCTGCAGTTTCGTAGATGGCCAGTTGAATGGGGTTGGTGCCGAGATCTTCAGTCATTTATATTTGTCTTTAAAAGACATCACAGGTAAATAATCTACTTCTTGAATTATGTTTTGAAGTCTGCTTTTTTCAATTTATTATTTTGGATGATGCAATATTTTATATTGCCCTGAATGCAGAATAGTACTTGAACGCCCAGAATATGGTTATGCAACATACTTTTTTGAGCTGTTAGATTCCTTACCCATTGACTGGCAGTTGAAGAGATTGGTGACTGCCATGAAGCTTACTAGCTGTGGCAGGATTACGCTGATCGAGAACAAACGATTGTCGGTAATAATTCATTCCTTTTATTTAGATGATTGCTAGAGTGCAAATGGATTTATGAATTTTATAATTTTTTATCAGTTTTTCTAGAGCAGTTTACAATTTACTATCATAACTACAGAGAAGGGACAAATTATAAAATTATTAAAGGGAGAAATTGTATGATTGCTTATTCATGAGTTTGGATTACCGAAAAAGAAAGGGGAATGTTAATCTGGTTTTTATCAGTCCACATGCTTGGCTATATGTTAATTGTGTGAGAGTAATTCATTTGTTTTCTGCACAGAGCTCTTCATGAATAATTGGGTTATAATTTTGATTTCCTTGCTTATTTTCCTTTGTTTAAAAGATGTTCTCTGTCTAAGCTCATGATTATAGTTTTACTTGTATCTTACGTAAAACTCAACTGCTATTGTTAAGCAAGAGGAAAAACAACTTGCTGGAACTTCAAAAGGCATTTGTTTTTCCAAAGAAGAGGTTCCTAAGTTCATTTGCAGAAAAATGACAAGAAATGCATCAAACATTTTTTTTTATGGGTTCTGTTTTATAAAAATGTAGTAAAGCATAATAAAAAATTGAGAACATCAATTTGACAGATTTTTTGTGTGATTTGGAGACAAGGGAAGCAGACCTGACTGCATCTCTATGTTAATTGATATAATGGGACGTTTCATTAAAGTAACTGCATCTTATTTATCTTTGGTTCAGGTTGGAGAAGACTTGACTGAAGGTGAAGCAAAGGTGTTAATGGAGTATGGTTGGATGCCAAATACTGGCTTGGGAACAATGCTCAACTACTGTGACAGAGTTGTTCATGATCGGAAGAACGAGAGTGACAGCTCGGAATGGAGATCAAAAATAGGAAAGCTGCTAGTAGATGGGTACAACGGTGGGACTATTGTTTCAACCAGTCTCGTGGAGGATGTCATTCAATATAGGGATGGTGAGAAGACACTGATTAAACTGGAATTCTGATTAGAGATTTGAACCGTGAACATGTACAAAGAAACATTTTGAAGGCTTTTAAGCAATCAACCGCTAACGAATTGAGTTCAAACTCCAGTTTACATGTTTCTCTTAGAAATAGGAAAATGTCTAATTATTGCTTTCATGTATTTAGCTAAATGGGAAATTCTGAATCCTCCAGTTTTCATAACTATACTTTGCCTTTTTTTGAAAAAAAATCATTCTTTGGTTATGATCGACAAACACAAACACAGATTCAGACGCGCACACTTTTTTTTTTTTTTGAAAGTTGAAATTTTATCAAAACAGAAAGGATTACAAAATTGAAGCCACACGATTACGTATGTGGGGTGATTTACGCTCATCTTAGCTAGAGAATATGCAAAATGATTTACATCTTTAGGCACACGGACGAACGAAATGTTTCTAACATCTTCGTATAGATTAGACAGATATAGACAGCAGGCATACATTAGGATGCCATTCGGTTTAATATCGACTAGTGAAGTGGAAGTTCAAAATTTTTTCTGTTTACACTTTTAGATGATTTTCTAATTGAGACTTCAAATTTTTCCTTTCCAATTAAGTCAAAAGCATGTAATTAAATCTAACAAATGATTGAATTTTATCGTTTACTACCTTGATAGGGTTTACAGATGATACTCTTGATGTAAGGTTCAATCCATTTGATTTAATACCTTGATAAATTTGAAGGTTTTCAGATGATACTTTTGATATAAAGTTTCATCCATTTAGTATCACATTCAAATCTCTAAAACTTAATCTGAATGATTGAATCAATCACGATTATATGTGAATTTGATAAAATTAAAAAATGACTTTTCATCGAAACATTAGCTTTTAACTTTTTAAAATAAAATAAAAATAAATTTGTTTAATACAATCGTCACAACATCTATAACTATAAAAAATCCAACTCTTAAAAATAAGAGATTAAGCGTGTAAAACAATTAGACATCAATACAAATAAATTATTCGCGAATTCAACTAAAGACAGCATAAAATAATGTGAAATTTAGATTGAAAGGAGATAACCAAATCACTTTCCTCGTTTACAAGTGCATTGAATAAGATCAACCCAAGTGCTGTAATTGCTTTCGCAAGTTTGTTCATAAAAATAATACAAATGCGCATGCAGAATTGTCGGAAATCTATCTTTGAAAAAGATCAAACAAAGAAAAACAAAAACAGTGTTCATGACGTTATGGATGACATCTAAACTCAAACAGAAACATTAATATTGCAAAAAAATTATGAGTTATAAAATAATTGATACAGATTAGACCTGCGGGCAAAATCAAATTGATCATTTCAAAGACTAAAGGGAAAGAAAAAATTGCCAAATTGAAAAATCTTTAATGGGTCATGTGTCTTAATCTTATCCAAGTAGTTACATAAAATATTTGAAACCCCAAAATAATAAAATGTGTGGTCTCCAAAAATATGATGTCTCCTTTTCATTACCCCTAAAAAATGCTACCACCTTTACTCAATTGAAGAACAGTGTAGAAGCTTTCAGTGTATCCAAGAAGATAAAGTTTTTGAATAAAAATGGATGGTGCTGAAATATAATTATATTTTTTTATAAAAAAAATATCGTAACCTGAATATAGGTAAAGATTTATACATATATATGTATGTATATAGATCATGAGAAAGAAAGAAAGCGGTGGACATGAAAAAAATGGGGAAAGTTTGCTGCATAAGCTCTAATTTTCCATGCCCCTTTTGTGGGGCTCTTATGGCCTAAGAAAAAAGTTCATATCCTCTAAATTTGATGATGTAGTGGCAAGCAAAAGTTTGAGGAAAAAACATTTTTTTATGCTCCACTTTATCATTCCACAGTTTTGGACCCAATAAGTACGTATCAATTATCTGTTTGCTTTTTCTAGTCCATTGGAAACTTTATACCATGCACACATTTGTATATTAATCACTTTAATTTCACCAAATTCAAGTGCAATTCATTTTCGTTGGAAGAAACAAGATAAAGTGAAAAAAAAAAAAGTTGTAGTAGTTTAATATTTTTTACGAATTTTTAAATTTCACATATGAAATGTTTAATTAAGTTATATTAAAAGAACTAATAAATTAATATAATAATTAAATGAACATGTGATAGTAAATTAATTTCTGTTGTTGTAAAGTTTAAAAAGTTTATCATCGAAAGGGGTTAAACAATATAATCTTTTATTGAAGCCCTAATTTTTTTAAACCTTATTTCCATCAACATGACAAGAGCATTGCGAAACGATGACATCTTGGGTTACTTATAATTATTATTTCATATATGAAAGGGATAAATAGACTATTATGGTTTTGAAGTTAGATTGAATGTCCACTCATTAGAGCATTGATTCAGTTGATTAATAATTAGAAAATGCCTCAAAAATATATAATTTATATATACATTTGAAATAAAGTGGAGGCAGAAGGGGCCCCAAAATCCACTAAAATGGCCAATGGTAAACATGCTCGTAGGGCGACCGAGATAGCATGCCTTAAAAGTTTTCATGTCGTCTAACCAGATTTGCCCTAATCTCCAGGAGAACTGAAAAAAAAAATGTAAAAAATGGCTGACAAATCATCACTTCCTTTAAAAATATTATTTGCCCATTGTTTTATTCTTTTTTTTTAAATAAAATATATATATCAAATTTTAATTTTAATTCAATCTATTCTTACAATTATATATATTAAAAAATAAAATTCAAATCTTATCATTAACAACTTTTTTCTATTTTAAACCATGATTTTTTTTATAAAATATATATATTAATGTCAAGTGCCAACTTCATTTTTTTTTCTCTCTCAAATAAACTTTATGCTATACCAAATGGCTTCATCTCAAGCTTTTATAAATTTTTTTCCAATCCATTCACTCATCCACTACTCTTATCCCTCTCTTATTTGAGTAAAATTTTCTAGGAAGGCAATCATTGTTATGGGAACATATGTACTCCTTTTCACATGTGCATTTTTTTATTACACACTTTCTTTATCTATTGTTGAACACCTACTTCAATATATGCTCATGTCATGATTAATCTTTGCTAATTCATCAACAATGGATTTGGTTGCAAAGTGGTTAGCATTCGAAAATCGACTATGAAAAAAATATTTAGAAAATATACATGTTGGTAACCAGTGGGGCATGACAATGAAGGATCCCACCATGACTTTTTGCTCTTTGTTGTCCCCAAAGTCAAAGTCTACCAAATCATTGAGTCACATTTAGACAATCGTGGTTGGTAGCTGCAAGCGACTCTAATACGCCCCGGACTCTTTACAAATAAAATCGACCTAATGATTCCTATGAATAATACTATCAACAAGTATTTCTTCTATGCAATTCTTGAGTAATTACTATAAATTTTTTTTTTAAAGAATCCTTTCATGAGTAGGTAGCTAGATTTAATGTGTTTATTTTATGATAAAAACATTAATAAAAATTTCAAGGCTTCGTTCAATTGTTTTTCATTAATAAAATAAATATCGATAGTAAAATAATCAAATAAATGAATTTTAAATGAATCTTATAAAATTTTTAGTAAAAGTGATTAGGTAATAGTAAAATTTGATAGAACAAATTTATAAATAAAAATAACTTATTTATATGTGAATACATGCAATATATTATTAAACAATCAAAAGTGAAACGAGTGAGTTTTGTCTAATTATATTTTTTGTACACTAGAATAATTAATTCCAAAATCAAAATTAATTGAATTTCTTTTGAGTGATTTTGAAAAGTCGTTTTCAAGGAAGAGTTTTTTATCCCTTCAAAATAAACAGAAAATATTGATCAGATCTTTTGTAACTAATTAATTTGCACACGCTGGTTTTAAGTTGTTGAGCTAATTTGACAGAAACAAAGAAAAAATATGGGCGTTAGCTGAGATTAATGAAACATCAAAATGACAAGTGCTTTGTTGGATTTGACTTTGAGTTTAAGCTTTCCAACATTGATTTTGGAGTTTGGGAGAGAATGCCACTTGTCACATTGTAATAAAAAAGTTGGGGAAAATTATCTGTGAAGGAGATCGATTGGTTATGCCATAGCTTTAGTTTGTGCATTTTTATTTTTGGACTTCTATTTTTAAGATATATTGACATCTACTTGTTTTTAAATAAAGTTATAATTTACTGAAATATTATACATTTAAGAAAAAACCAATAAATAAAACTACACAAACCAATATAAAATTCCACTTAATTCATAATGTGATAAGTAATAATTGATTCACCACCCTAAGAAGAGCGATAGATTTAAATTTTATCTCATAATTTATTGATTTGATTGTAATGTTAATTTATAAATCAATTGAATTAATAATTAATCAAATTATATATTTTTAAATTTATCTAATCATATATTTTTTTTAGTATTTATCTAATAACTATGCACAAACTATGTTAAAATATACAAATAATAAAAACTAAATTGATAAAACAAGCAAAAATAGTTTTCCTAGATGTAAAAATTTTGGATTTGAATTTAATTGATAAATATTTATTGAATCATCTCATATGCATAATTTTTAATTATTTATTTTAAATTATCGGATATAATATATCTTATTTTAATTTAAAAAATTAACAACTTATCTCACTCAAATTTATCTATAAAAAAACAATTATTTTATGAAAATTTTCATAGTCAACACAATGGAATTGAATTCTCAAGTCAAGAATGTAAAAGTTGTTACAGAGAAAATCAAAGACGGCAAAGGCTAAAGTATTCCTACCGGACATGGTGTATGATGTCCTGTCTCAACAGTTAGCATCTGACAACTTATTTAGGAGACTAGCAAGTTTTAATTTCTGGAGTCAACCCTTTTATTTTGTTTTTAAATTAACTTTCGACATTATTATTTGATATTTTTATTGATTTTCTCTTCAAATAATAATTTTTTTAATCAAGAAACGAGTGTTAATCACTGGCCTTTGATGTGACCAATTTTTATAAATGTTATATACCACTTATTTAGCAGGCATTCCAAGAAAAATTAAGCAATTTAACCTTTATAGTTGTGTTTGGGGAGATTAGTCAACCTTTATAATAAGATATATAATACACAGACAGTTGTTTCCAGTTCTCATCTATTAATTATATTTTCTCAATTTTCATATGTTAATTTTAATTTAATTGTTGAAGTATATATGTAAATTTGTTGAGTTTTTTTTTAATTTTTTTCTTTTTATATTAAAATTTCCTACTATATAATTTCATTCACAAGATAGGACACGCATTACCTGAAATAAACATTGTAGTATTGGATATTGACCCTTAAACTTCTATTCTATTTTCACCTTCTTACAATTGAATTGAAACTATTATTATTTTATTTTACAATTGAATCTCAATTACAAGAAATAGCAATATGAATATAGAGAAACAAATGCTAATATATTAAAAAAAAAAAAAGAAACAAACAAACGAAAAAAGAAAAAAAATAATAGAAAAATGTGGTGGCAGAACAGCAAAAAATAATATTCAATTTAATGCAAATTAATTGGGGTCAAGAAGCTTCTCAGAAGCTGTAGTTGATATATATATAAATGGTTGGACCAATGTCATTGTTACTAGTAATCTACGGTTTTGGCTAACACGACCAAGCAATCTTTTGTAATATTGGTTTCCAAGTAAACCCAAAGTGTGATCAAATGCAAACATAAATACATATATTTTGAAAAAAAAAAAATCTTTTTTTAGTGTTTAGGGTTTAAGAATAATATACTACTGCTCGTCCATAAATGAATAATATAATACAAAATAATTATTTACAAAATATACTATTCAATAATAATAATTTTTTCTTTTGTAATTGTTTGGCTCTAAACATAAAAATTTTTGTCTCATGTCAATGTATTTTAGGTAAGCCTACTACCATCACGCCATTGGAATCACTGAAGGAATACCTAGTTTGTAGCCTAAAAATATTTCTTATAAAACTAATGAATTTAAATAAAAATAAATCAGTTTGCAAATGACTGAAAATAATTTTTGGTTAAAATACTAAAAAAAATTTATGTACTATTTACTTTTCTTAAATAAACTCATATTTTTATTGTATCTAAATAAATTTTATATTTTGATTTGTATTCAAATAAGTTTTTATTTTAAATGAAAAAATGAGTTATATTAAGAATTTATTTAAGTATAAATTAAAAATTTAAAAATTTATTTAAATATAAATTAAATGTTAGAAGCTTATTTAGATTCAATTTAAAGATTAAAAACTTATTTTGAATTCAATAACAATATAAAATTTATTTAAATAAAATTATAAAGTTCAGAAATTTTTTTTATTATTTTAGTCATTTTTTTTTTTTAACAAAGTAATTGAGTACTTGAGCAGGTTTCTTCACAAAATCCCATTCTTATTAAATAAGATTAAATTGAACTGACAACAACACATTGAAATTTTCTCTTCAATTCATCATATACAAATAAAAAAATTATTTTTTAGGAAAAGACTAAAAAGAAGTGATGGATATCTTATTTTTCTTTCTGCAACTGACTGCCAAATTGCAAATAAAACCCACAGTAAAAAAGAAATCAAAATCGAATCATAAGAGATCATATGTCCAAGAATCTTGATCAACACCCATTTTTGGGCACTGAATTAGAGGAGATGATAATGAATTAAGAGCTTGCTTTTTGTCACTATCATCATTGACTAGCAAATCCCAAATGCTGAAATCATCATCCCACAAGCTCAGGTCGTTGTTATTGTTGCTGCTAGTGTTGCAACCAGAGGGCCATCCAAAATCAGGGAACTGAAATTCTTCAAGGAACATGGAAGAGTCACAAGAAGAGGAAGAGGAAGATGATGTTGATGGTGCACAATTAGGGACCAAAATCTCATGGGGTTGAATCAATGGAACTTCATCTGTGCAAAAACCATTATTATTGTTCATCATCATCTCCATTGGCTCAAAAAATGGAGTTGTCATGCTCTTATCTTCCTCCTTTGCTTCAGTTATTGTGGATTGTAAGGATGTTTCTGGCTCCTTGGTTTTGTCCACTTGAGACTTGACAGCAGCCTTTGAAACTTGTTTCTTTTCCCCTTGTTGCTGCTGGTGGTGGTGGTAGGGTAGCTGGGGTTGTTGTTCAGTGGTAGATAATGGCTTATGGGTGAGAGGATCAATGCCCATTTTCCTCAGTTTTTTCTTTATGTGAGTATTCCAATGGTTCTTGATCTCATTATCAGTTCTTCCAGGGAGATGAGAAGCAATCTTAGACCATCTGCAAAAATGATAAAAAAAAAAAAAAGAAAAACAAATCAGTGGAAAAGAAGACAAAAATAACATCAAGTGAGATAATAAAGGAGACAAATTAGAAGGATGGCTTTTTATGGCCACAAGAAAGCTCAACGTAAAACAAATTTGCTCCAGTTATCAAAAGCTATCAGGTTATTTTTTTTATTTTTAAAGAATTATCTCTACCCTTTATATATATAATCTTTAGACTAAGAAACATTGATGAGTACTGCATAATAAAGAAATGGGTACATGGGGCTGACTGAGTATGGAATGGTGAAACTATCAAAGATGGGAACCTGTTGCCAAGTTGAGCATGGAGATCAATGACCATTTGCTCTTCATATTCAGATAAAAGTCCTCTTTTCAGGTCAGGCCTAAGATAGTTTGTCCATCTCAGTCTGCAACTTTTCCCACACCTTAACAATCCTGCAATGACACATCCAACAAATTCATATTCCAGAGTAAATAATTAAAATTATTGCCTTAGTGGTCAGCTTTTCTGACTCTTGCCATTCCTAATCATTATGCCGAGTTGCCAAGCCCCATCTTCATTTTTATATCCTTCCATTAAACAGAAAAAGGAAAAATAATAAGCTAAATGAATTGCATAAACAAGTACAAATGATTTCTAAACCAGCTTGAGCAATGTTTTTGCTTCATGAAAAACTGAGAAAAGAAAGTAAGAAAGATGTACAAATGATCTATTTGAGAAAAAAAAACGATTCACAAGACTAAAAAATTTTCTACATTCTAGAAAAAAACAAAAGATACCCTTCTTCCCCGACAACTTGAATAAAAATCCAAATTTGTTATGATTCCCTCTCTTTCTGTCTCGAAATGTGGGTGAGAGAAAGAAACTGAAAACAATGGGAGAGAAACCTGCAAGCTTAGGAACAGCTCTCCAACAGCATTGGCCATTGTTGAGGATGAAGTTAATAAGCTTCTTATCCTCCTCTGCAGTCCATGGCCCTTTCTTCAACCCAACTTTGTCACAACATGGTTGTCTTCCCATCTTTTTCTAATAAGTACTGAATTCCCAAGGCTCCAACAAATATTTATTCAATGAACCCAAACTGATTATAAATATTATATCAAACTCTACCAGAGACAAATAGATTGTAACATATGAGATAGACAGACAGACAAAGAGAAGGAAAGGAAGGAAACCCTCTTCAAAATTTGATGCACTAATAACAAGGCACAAAGACAAGTTCCCACCTTCATATATAAATGAATCAACCCCCCTCCCAAACCAATCAATGCTTAGTCCTTTTTTTTTTTTACTTTGACAAAAATTTTATATATATTTATTTTTAATACTGTTACTTTTAGTCTGGGTTTATACACGTGTATTTTAATCAATGGGGGAACGCGTAACAGAAGTGCGAAGCCACTTTCAGAAAGCTCTACTTCATCGAACTTTTCCATTTTTTTTTCTTCAGTTTCAAGGGTGAGATACTCTCATGAACACACATCATAGCACAAGGAAAAGTAAAGTAAAAGTAAAACAAAACCCAACAATCTCCCCTAGGAAGATAATTTTTTTTCAGATTTTAATTTTCATTTTGTTTAAGCATACAGGATTTGTTTACTTTTGTCTGATGCTTCCATAGTCTTATGTACCAAGTGAATGTGGTCCAGTTTCTACTCCTACCCAATTTCTAAGGCTCATCTCCTTCCTCAGAGAATCCAAAAGATGAAGGAAATTTTTATGATACTAAAAGGCATTTTCAGTATACAACCAACTTGATGAATTCAAATATTACCTTTTTCCTCTTTTTTTAATTAATGTCTCAATTCATAAACAACATGGAGTCCAATTGTAAATATACATAAAAGAGTAGGTATACATGCACTACCAATATGCAATTGGACATCGTATCTAAACTAATTTATACAATATTGTATTATAATGTTGGTAGAACTATCTTGTTTTTAAAGCAAAATAAGCCATAATATTCTTAAGTTGTAATACAATTACAAAGGGAAGTAGCTTCACTGAGCATGCAGGGCCCAAATAATGGTAAAAAAAAATTCATTCCAGGCTCCAAGGTTTATCAGCTTGCGACACAGCTACGGAGCTATCATTATACAGAGAGACTTGCCACCAATCTTCAAAATCATCTTTTTGGGACTCTTAATTTGAAAAGAAAGGGCGTAAAAGAGTCTCTGCTAATTCAAGGTATCCCCATTACTTCTTGTTGCACTGTTACAACTGGCTGGGACCTTCTCTATTAGTACTCTATTAAATAATCCTACTATATATGCTTGGTTACAAAAATTCTAACTCTGCTGCAGGGTTCGGTTCAAACATCATTGACCCAACAACTTTTCGGATATCCTACTATGTTGGAACTGATCAGATTTGTGTGGTTTCTCGAGATTTGACTATTGATTTCTCTAGCATGTTGTAGTGGGATTGGTGAGAAAGAATAACCAACAATTTTAGCTTGTTCCTCAACCAACTTTGTTCATCTATTTGTATTCTAACTCTATATACTATTTTTATTCTCAAATGATCATATATGTGTGTATGTATACATGTGTGCACGGTAATAAAAGTTATTGAGCTTGAATTCTTAATTAAGATGAGTAATCGCGCAATTACTATAAACCCCTGACACTATTTTTTTGGCTTTTTTTTTTTATTTTATTTCATTCATAGATATTTTCTTAGAGGATAGATAAATGGAAAGGACTGGACAGGAGGTTCAGGTAACAAATAATAACTGGTACAAAATAAAGAAAACAAAGCATACAGGCAACATTGATATTCTGGACAGTCTAGAGGACGTTGTCCTCACTGATCTCCCCCTTCTGTTGAGCATATGGCACATTTCAATCCTTGGTTGCTCATGCATTTTGTGCTTGCCAGTTTCCCGAAGTGAATTATAATCACTTTGATGGGTACAACTTATCACTAGTGTGTCATATCCTAATTATTACTAAACAAAACAAACCCCAAACCATATTCCTCCACCAAAGACATAGAAACACCAAATTAAGACAGAAAGAACAAAAGGAAGAAGAGGAAACAAATTGCTGTATCAAAGCCTATTAAAGCAAAGCTTGGAAATATCCATGATCTTCTTATTAAATTTATATATCCAAGATGGTAGAGACATATGTTTATATAATTGAAATGCATTTATTTCATAATTATTTTAATTTATTAATTTTTAATTATAATCTAATGAATATTGGCCCAAAATATTATAATCTAATGAGCTTAAATGACAACCTGTGAATAACTTAAATGCTTTCAGATTTCAACTTTATAAAAACTAAACTGAACCCTGCTCGGTTTGCAGTAACAATTGATTGAAACAGCCTTTTACCAGCATGGTTACAGCTGGCCTACAATGTTAAGCTCATAATCTTCAAATTTTCGGAAGCTCTCTCAACATGCAGCAACAATGATTCAGTAACCCTCTCAATTCCATATTTTACTATAGTCAAAGCCTCAAGGACAGGGGAATGAGAAAGTATTAGCTTTAAAAATTCCCATTCAGGTTTGGTGCCACAGAGGCCTCTGATCCTCACCACTTTAAGTTGGCTGAAGAAGAAATCATACAGGTACTGTTCTTTAAGAAAATCAACAACAGGTCTGATTTGGGAAAAAAGAAGAGACCCAACAATGGAAAGCTTCTCTTCATTCCAAAACAAACGAAAGCCCATGTTTACTAGTGAGATGAATAGTTTGTTTTCTTCTTTCCCATTTTAAGTCCATTGGGCTCCAAACATCGAAATTTGAGCTTTCTTATGGAAATTGTAAGAGCCCAATAACCAAAAAAGAAAAAATCAAAATTTAGGAAAGATTTAGGAAAGTCGGTTTTAAAGTCTAACCACATATTCGAGGACAAATTACAAAAAAAAATGTGATTAGATGCTAAATAAATTAGTTCTTATGGATTTTTGGTTAATTTTTAATCAACATAGTTAAAAGTAAAATGCAAAATGGCATTTATGACACTATTAAATTAACAATTTATTTATAATTTTATCTTTTATTTTTCTCCTTTTATAGGAAACACAACATTTTTTTTTTGCATTTCTAACATCTTTTTATTTCTTTTATTTTTCTTATTTCCTAAGCGTAGTGTTAAAGTTGGTTGGGATATCTCCTAGAATCCTCGTTCCTGAAACAACCAGACAAAGATGCAGTCATATGCTAGAGATTTCCATCCCCTGCGGACAAAATTGGTTGAAGAGCTCAGACCTTATCCAAATTCGTTGGCAGTTGTTTTTTTCTCCCATTTTGTTGGATATACCTTCCTCTGAAAATCGTTAGCTCTCTAGAGCAATACTAGATTTCGTGGTTATCGTTCACTCGTTAAATATAATTAAAATTAATATCATCTTTTTTTATTTGTTTTCTCTATGTCATTTCTTTTTCTTGATTACATGCTACGAAAAGGAGTTATATAAGAGATAAAAAGGGTTGGCTGCACTATTAATTAGGACCACATAATTTTTATTTTATTGAATAGATATATTTATTTATTTATATCATGATCGAAGTGATTAAGACAAGGCAAAAAGGCCGGATGCAATTTGAACTTTTAAGCATAAATGGTTGGGGGCAAAAGACCACAACAAATTGCACAATCAGCACACTTTAGAGCTAAGCTTTTTGGTTGGAACCAAGAGGCCATAATTTGAGGGGATCAGTTTCAGCTCTCTACTGTCCCAAAATTTGTGGTGCAGGTGCATCCTAATCTAGTAGCTCATGGCAGATTTCTATTGGTTGGATAAATTTTCTCTACGGTTTTCCGAGCCAGCATCTTTGTCATCAGGTGAAAGCTGCTTATTTATGTCCACGTAAGCACTGTTCTGATCATAACTCAACTGACGTGCTATAAGTCAGCTTGAAATGTTGTCTTGTGGTTGGGGCTACTTCAACTACTGTAATTAAAGCAAAGTTAGTGTGAACAAACCCTTGATATCTAACCATCAATAGAATTGATTGTACATGTTGTATTGTCACATTGGAGAAAATTAAACCACCCAATAATCATCTGACTTTACATTGTTTATCTATAATAAATGTCATTTTCATATATTTAAATTGAACCGTCATGAAATACGTGATTATCTTAATAATATATATGTGTGAATAATTTATAATAATTCAATTATTGATTAATCCAACGTCCATGGTGCTTCATTTCTTTTCACCCCTTCTTAGAGTTACCTTTGAATGAGGGTAGTTTAGGCGGTTAAATGACAGCAACAGTCATTAATGGTCACCAAACTAGCATTGCTGATGCAGTTATATGTCCGTACCATTCCAACAATTGTTTTACATTGCAGTATCTAATAATCGGTAAATCTTTGTAAAGGAGTTGAAAGGAAGATCTCAAGAATCATTATTAAGGGTTCATTTGAATAAACGATAAAATTAATTTTTATGAAATTGAAAATAACGATGGAGGTGAAATTAATTATTATAACGATGAGATTAAAATATGTGATAAAATATGTGTTTGGATGTAATTACAATAATAATAGTAAGATGAATTATAATGAATAAGAAAATGATCATTAAAGACATTATATTAAAATTTATATATAATAAAAAATTTACATTATTTGACGTTTATAATATTAATAAATAATTAAAAATTATTTTTATGTCAAATAATATATATTTTTAAAATTGATAATAATATAATTATATCAATTAAAACTTAATAAAATAACATTAAACAAGTAAAATATAAAACATTAATTAATTTAAATATAAATACAAAATAAAAAAAAAATGATGGTACTATAGTAAATGGTTCAGTTCAGTGACTCAGTGAACCATTTTTTAGCGGTGAAAAATTATTGCTCTAATGCAGTAGAGGAGTTTAATCAGACTATATTGGTGGACATCTAAACGAAATGAGATGGTGCGATTGCATCAGAAAGATAAAAATTCTCCTTGCACTTATGCTGTAAGTGAATCCAAATGAAGCCTTAATGTACAAGTTCAACAATTTGAACCCCATTTAAAGAGTTCTTTCTTGTTTGCCAGATAAAGTTCCAACTGTCCTGACTGATTTTGATCAAACACCGTGAAGTAAAAGCAGGTCTGCCGAAAGATTTATCGGTAACGAGATTGGAAAGGATCATTGTCCAACAAATAACCTAGAGCACTATTATCGATGGAAATGGAGACAAAGACTACTAATACCGTTCTTCCATAGAAAACTAAAAGTGACTACCATAACTGTTTCATC